TGACAAGTCTTGGTTCTTATTTTGAAATTATCTTAAACAAAAGGAAATTTGACATTTTGGACCACAGGAACAATGAAGAAGTTAAGATCTACAAAATGATAACTAGGAGATGATCTATAATTAGTAGCTACAATTATTATCCACTATCTTTTATATCATCAATTATATAAATGTGTATATATTTTCCTAAACTTTGTTTACTCTTCACATCATTGTCGGAGTTATTTTAATCCTTCCACTTTATGAACTAGACAAAATTTGATATTTTTAATAATAAGAGACAGTATTAGTCATCTAAGGTTGTCATAACACAATATGACAGAATAAGTGGTGGAATAATAGAAATTTGTTCCTTCAGGTTCTGGAGGCTGCAAGTCCAAGATCAAAGCATTTCCAGGGCTGGTTTCTCCTGCAGCTTCTGTCCTTGGCTGGCAGATAATCACCTTCTCACTGTGTCCTCACATGGTCTTTGCCTGCATGTCTCCCTGGTATCCAAGTTTCCCCTTCTTTTAAGGATGCCAGTCAGATTGGATTTGAGTCCAACCTATTAACATTATTTTGACTTCATTCCTGCTGGAAAAACTCTATCTTGAAATATAGTTGCATTCTCAGGTGTTGGAGGCTGTGTATTCAACTGTGTATTCAAGGAAATTTGGGGAATGTACACTTCACATCGTAACACATGGAGACCAATCAAAATGTTCCTGCATGCTGCTGTATTCCCCTTTGAATGCAATGGCCTAACTAACATTTAGCCATGAACTCCTTGAGTACAGTGCCTGGAGATGGGGGACATAAATCCCCTAAAACAACATACACTTAGAGCTGAGCTCTTTTTCATAAGATAAGAAGAATGGATAGGAGAGAGGAACCCTCCTATCAGCTTCTGGCAAGAATTTCCAGGCTTCTGCTCTCTCAAACAGGAAGAAACACTCTACTCCAGTACTATCCAATTCAAGTATAAGAGTTTCATATGTAATTTTCAATTTTTTAGTGGTCACATTTTAAAGTAGTATAAAGTAACAAAAGGCAAAACTGAGGTCCATGAATTTTATTTAACCAAACTTTCCCAAAACAGCAACAATGTAAAGATTATTTAGGAGATATTTTATCCTTTTTTTCATGCTGATCCTTCAAAATCCAGTTCATATTTACATTTGTATGATTTTTCAATATTAAATGATCATATTCAAGTGCTTAGTAACTATGTTGGACATACATAACTCTTGTGTTGGACAATATAACTCTTTCATTTGAATACATTGCCTACAATAGATGTTGCCACAAGAGGTAAAGTTAAATCAAAATTACCTTCCAATATAATTATATCTTCACTTATAAAATCTTGTAATAACTTTATTTCCTTTGGGACACTAGCCTCAAATTTCTGCCTAGTTCATTTAGAGAAGACACCTGTGACTAAGATCCTAAGTAGTGCACAAGTAGATGATTTGTTTGTGTTGCTCATTACTCTATGGAGTGCATCTGGAGGTGTCCTTTGTAAGAGGAGGGTGAACTTGGAATAATCTAATGCTTCCATGGTCTACCTAAAAAGAATAGTTGTTATATGGCTGCTGGAGGTTCCGGCCATTTTGGAGATTTTTTTCCTGAGGACCCTACTTTGCCAGGGGCTGATCAGACCTTTGGATACCTTTGGGGAGTAGGGGGATAAAATAAAACAGAGACAAAATTCAAGGTATAAGACGATAGGGAAGACCCTGCCACACTAGTGGACAGGCTCTACAATCTCCAAAGTTGACCCATTTTTTATTAGCCAAGAAGTGAGGGGTTGGGGTAGTGTACTTTTCTGGAATAGTGACTGCAGTAAGAATGGGGCACTGAAAAATGAAGAACAAGTTAAACCTCACAAAGGGAACAAGTTAATGGGGATTAGGTTCTTCCCTTTCCTGCATTTTTTTTTTTTTTTGGCATTGTCCTTAGCAGATGTTATGTTGCCTTAGAAGCACTATGATTACAAGCTTTCCTTGCACAGCTAGGAAGCATGAAGCCTTCCACATACTTCCCTATTCCTAAAGCAGATAGCACCAGCCTTGTGTCTGAGGGACCTACATCATGTAGCCTTGTCCCCAACATTTTCCTCGTGTAGCCTGGTCCCCAACAATACTTACTATCTGGACCCACATTCTCAGCCTGGTCAAAAGAAACTCCTACTCTGGTATCCATGTCCTATAACTTGGGCCACTAAAAGCCCTTATTATAATTCACAATACTCTTTGACTCTGCCACAGAAATCTGATTACTTTAACAATGTGATCTCCATTTTTTTAAAGGCAGAGTCTATAAAAATGCAACTGCAGTGTGTCTGAGCTGCCTTATGCTGTAATCTTGAAACTCCTAGTTAATAAATCTGGACCAATATTTTAAAATTTCCAGTAAATAAAATGCACTGAGTACCTACAGAGAGCTAGTTCAAGAAGAAGACAAAGTAATTTATAACACATAGCCTCTGTTCTTAAGAAATCTAGAAGGATCTAGTGGAATCAGGACTTCACTCATAGAGATCAAATAGTAATAATTAAGAGAAAACAAGTATGTGAAAGAGAACAGATCATCAGAAGACAAAGTCATCAGATAAAGTTTAAGGAAGAGCTAAAACTTTTTCTTGATTTCACAATGTGCAGAATAAAGAGGGGAAATGTGAGTTGAGAAAGAGCACTGTCTAGTAAGGGTCAGCCAATAGACTGATTTTACCAGTGGGCAGCCTACCTGGGGGAGTAGAGATGTTGATGAAGCTAGATGCCTTGGAGGCATGTAGCCAATTTGAATAGATCTTTAAAACTTGGTATATGTAGATAAGATTCAACAGATGATGGATAGGATTCACATAAGGCAAGTGACAATTTAATCTGACTTAAATTCACATTGACCAAATGAGGAGCTATTAGAGGCACAGGAAAAAGGGCTAAAGGACTTGGTAATGATCAGTTTTGTGTGATGATAAAAGCCTGGACTGGCAATATCATTTAAAAATAAATATAAGGAAGCTATGGCAAAACTTATGAAAAGACATGCTAGGACTGAGAAGGGCACAGCCTCAAATTTTTTCATTTAAACAACTTAAGAATGTTTATGTTCCTCAAAGAATAAGGAGTAGTTGGAAGATACCATAGATTTATGAGATGGCAAGATTGCCAGATTCACTTCTGACCATATGGAGCTGAGGTAATAGTGAGATATTAGAGTAGACACAGATGATAAGTGATTGAAAATGCAGGTGAAAAAGTTGAATCCAGAGATTAGGACTTTGCAATGTTCTTATTGAATAGCTAAACTTAATCTACTTATCAAATGGAAAAATATAGACTTCCTAGGGAGTCTGATCATAGTCCAAGAGACTTACTCTGAGAAGCAATTCTATAATGTGCATTTGAAAATCAGCAAAAGCCCAGCCTCACGCAACAAATCACTCTATTCTGCCCAACAACCTCATACTTGCTTCAAAAAACCCAGTTCTACACATGTCAGAACCAGTTCCATTTCTGCAATCTGAAAACTCTAATCCAATTGGCAATAACAATTATGAAGGGTTTGGGGATTGGAAATTGGCCTCTGCTCTTCATCAGAAACTCAGTTTTATCACTTCTCTTCTTCAGAAGAGAAATGAGGTGGCACAAAATCTGGAGGAGGGGATAATTTGCTGCATATGAAGAAAAGGAATCCTGACATCAATTAATGAATTTGGCTTGGCCATGGCTAACTTACCTCTTTCTTCCTTTAACTCACCTTCCTGGACTTGTCAAGCTGCCTCTGGGAAAAAAATATCCTTTTTAGTTGGGCATAGTTTGAGATTACCTGCAATAAGTCATATAAAGAATAGGTTTTGACATACTTCTGGTTTCTGGACTGAGCCAAGGTGACGATATTCTAGAACGATGTTCAAATTTTCTTGCAAAAGATACATATATCTATTTTTATAGAGTGAACTAATTTTCAGGGCTTTTTCAAGCACTGTTAAAAGCCAGGCTCTAGGGACCAGTCTTGGATAAGTGGGTGGAAAGTGAACAGAAATCCAAGCAACAGCAGTAGATAGTTGTCTGACAGAGGCATGTGGGGGTGGCAGAATCGGCTGTTGTGTGAACTCAACAAAAAGATACAACATGCCCAAGTAAGCCTTTCCAAGGCTATCTGACAATGGGTAACAGGGACCCCAGCTTGCATTGGAACTAGAGGAAAAGGCCACATCCAAAGGACATGGTCACAGCAGACAACCAGGAGAGATTCAGAAACAGGTGATGGGAGATCAGACAACTTAAAAGAACTGAGAACCAGGCAGGTATTAGTTCCCAGCCAAACCAGCCAGTGACGGAGTTCTAGAAATGAGCGTGACAGCTTGGCTTCCTTGACTAATGGATCAAAATGTTGAGGGTAAAAAAAATCATCTCTAATATTTTATTAATCATCCAACCCCCTTCCATCAGTTCTTTTCTTTAGATAAATCACATCATTTGTTTAGATCCATCTCTCTTAACTTTGACTAACTTTTCAAGAAGCCTTTCCCCTGACTGAATTCTTCCAAATGGTGTCCAGAGAAGAAAGATTGGTTGCTGGCCAAGTACCAGCCCAAATCTCTTTGTTAGAAAGAAGTACACCACTTTCAATTTCCTGGCCTTTTCTAAGTACAGACCCTTGTGACTCCCAAAGTTCTGTATTATTAGGGCAGTGGTAATTCCAGAGGAGATGACACAAAAACTATTAATAGATTAGGGTTATGATAAAGCTGAAGTAGAAAACAGAAGTGTTCCAAAAAAGAGAAGTATAACATGGAAAGTGGAAAAAAAAAGGCGAAATATTTTGCCCGCTGAGTTGATAACTGTCTTTGTAAAGGAACACATTTCAAAAGCAATATACAGTGAAACTTTTATGGGCTTTTACTATCTATATGTGGATTGTTTGATATTTTACCTTCTTACTAATCAAAGAAGAAGGAATACATCAAGTTAAATTAATTTTTTACCAAAAAAAACATTTTATTTCCTTAGAACCAGCTCCTCCCAAATCACTCTTTGCAGTGAACAAAACGCAGACCTCAGTGACTTTGCTGTGGGTGGAGGAGGGAGTAGCAGATTTCTTCGAGGTCTTCTGTGAAGAGATTGGCTCTAGTCGGGGGTCCCAATTCCAGGTACTGTACATTTTGACTTTCCTTTTCTGGGTTAATCTCAATTAACACTAAATACCTAAACAAAATAATTCTCTTCTATCTTTGGACTGTAAGAAGTGAAAACTGTTTCCTTGTTTGTGTTTCAGTGACAGAAATATTACTATTCTTAGAATAAGACCATAAGAACTTTTAAGTCTGTGTTTATCTTTTGTCACTAAACTTCAGCCACTCTAGGACATACAAAGAAATAAAGGAACTGCCTCACTAAGTTGATCAACAGATAAACCAATATAAAATACAACTTAACAAATAAAATACATTTGAACTCCCAGCCATATAAAATATGTATGAAATATAATTCAACATATAAAATATAACAACAAAGAGGAAGGAATTGTCAGTTTTCTGAAAGGTGCTGTGTAGAACACATATAATAGAATTAACATTTATCTACAAAATTCTCTGTATAGTTAGTTGGATGCAGAAACAATAAGTAAAGTAAAATAGAAATACCACAAGAAAGATGCATACTACAAAGTGAAACTAAAGGAAGCATACATTTCTGGTTTATAAGGAGGACAATTTTCTTGGAAACAAAGTTTAAGAGATGGTAATTTCTAATGCTTTAGAATCACAAAAAACAAGAAGTATGAGTATTATGCTGTCATCTTTTTATATCGTACAATAGTACTTGTTATTAGTCTGGCCATTGGTCCAGCAAGTTAGCAACTTTCTCTTCTCAACAAAAAACAAACAAAAGAGGCAAATATTAACTGCTTCTGAGCACAGAAAGTTGCTGAAAGCTGACAATGCAGGCAAAGGGGATAAGGTTCTTACTATTTAAAGAATGCTTCAAGTCAAAAAGATAAAGACCAACAACCCCCAAAAGATATTTCCTGAAAAAATAAATACAAAATATTATTGAATGTATGAAAAATTGACCAGCTTCACTCATAAGAAATGCAAAATTAAACCACGAGATAAAAGTGCCACTGATACTGTTGGGAAAGCTCACCTTGAAAATGTACTGTGTTGGAGAAAAACTGTAAGAAAATAGACGCTCTCATACACAGGTAATAGGTGGGCACATTGAGAAATGTCTGTGGAAGGCTACTTCGAATAGCTTTTGATATTAAATGTGTGCACTTTTTTGAGCCAGCAATTTAGCTGCTAATATGCAAATGAGTGTATGTGTGCTTGTGTGTGCACATTCACGTAGGTTTTATGTGTACCTGTGTGTGCATATACATATTATATATATATTTATACTGCTTCTCAACATTTGTGAAATGATGTTCACTGAAGCATTGTTTGCAATAGAACAAAAAACTCAGTCCATTTAAACCTTTATCAGTAGGGGCCTAGTGAAATAAACTATCACTCTCAATGGGTTTCTGTGCATCACTTAAAGAGAAAAAGCAGTTTAATCTGAACTTTAATCACATATACTTCATATTTGCCTCTTTTGTTTGTTTTTTGTTGAGAAGAGAAAGTTGCTAATTTGGTGGACTGATGGCCAGACTCCTAACAATGGAAATAATAGGAAAATGTATTGATAACAAAGGTTTTTATAAAAGCAAAAAAAAAATATTAATGAACATTATGATTTTTCATTATGTCTTATGTGATTATATGTTCATAAAACAAACATAGAAAGAAATATTACCTGGCCACAATGGCTGCTTCCACGGAGAGAAACTGGGTAGATGGGAAATAAAGGAAGAAAGAACAATTTTCACTTCTGCGCCTTTCCAGCTTGCATTTTTTATTCTGTCTCTATATATTAACTATGACAAACAATTCTAAAAACAAAAGGATGAAGATGAACTTAATCTGTGTTTTACTTTCTGCTTCTCCAGGAGCCAATTTCTGTTTCTTCCCACGTGGTCACCATCTCCAGCCTCCTGCCTGCCACCGCCTACAACTGCAGTGTTACCAGCTTCAGCCACGGCAGCCCCAGCGTTCCTACGTTCATAGCCGTCTCCACAATGGGTACTTACACACACGTGTGCAGTCTGGTCTTGGGAAGAACTTACTTCTTTCCACATTTTCTTGACTTTTGAAAGAAATGTGCATTCTCTGTCTCTTAGGGGAGCCAGTGTCCTACTGGAAAAAAGAAAAAACTCAAGCTGTGGAATTGGGTGCATCTTAATTCTAATTAGACATATGATTAGGGAAAGCTATTTACTGCCTTTTTTATCTGAATAATTAAAAGAATGATATATTGCTTTGGGGGTTATTTTGAAACTCAGAAGTGAAGTACAGACAGCTCTCACTTCTGTCATAAATGCTAACTGCCACCACCAACTTCATCACCATTACCCTCTTCTTCTTCAATAAGCCTGTTCAACTAGGTTTCATCTGTTGCATCTTTTGACCTCAGCCTTGACACCGATCACATAATGGCTTATCTAAATTACTGAGTCAAAACAAGAAAGTCTGGGGTCCAGCAGAAAGTGTAGGTCTGGAATGATGCTTAGCTCCTGGTTCTTTTCCTGGGCTGTGCCGCGCATGTTGTTGCCTGGTTTGTTAGAGCCTGATTCCACACTCTGAATCCCTCTATGAAGCTCTTCTTTTTATCACATTAGTCTTGCATTGAGTTCTTTTTATTTTTGTAATATTACTCATATCTAGCTGCCATATTCAGTGATGGCTGGAGTGAACTTTTTCAAAAACATTTGTATTTTTGTTTTTCAGAAGGACCAAAAAAAATTAGCCTGTAAAGATTGTAATGATATATTGTCTCTATATCCTGTTACATTTTTCTAAGTACACTTTAATATCTATTATTCCATGTATGTCCCTAAAAACCTAGAGTAACAGGTGGTTTTATTAAGCTTTTGGCAACTGAGAGGTTGATAAATGATGTCTTCGAGGGCCAGTTAACAGCCAGGTGACCACACACCTACGCTTCTCACCATGAGTCTGCTGTTTTATCTGTGCAAACCTTCAGCCTATATGCTGGAGCTGACCTCACCCAAATGGAAAGTAGCAAACATCCACAGCCTTCAGGATGAATTCTGCCATTTCATGACCTGTGTAAAGGATAATATACTTTTCCTCTGGCCACTTTGAGCAGTTCAATAAAGGTTTTACATGTGCCCATACTTTTAACATCCTGCTCATCCATGTATTGTGAAGAACCAGCCATGTACAAGTGCATCACAAGTGTAAGCAGGCATCACATAAAGTACATAAAAAGGACCCATCCCCTCTTCTTAAGGACACTCCGGCTTATTAATAGACAATCTCTTGAGTGGTGCAGATGGAAAACCTCTGAACATATGGCTCCAGATCATCAGAACGCTGCCTCAACTAATGTGCTAAATGCTGCAACAGATGGCAGCTTGCAAATGCCTTTTTCATATACATTATTAGTCGTGAGCAAAGTATACAGTTGTGCTTTCTGCCTTTGAAGTCATGGGAGGAAGATACGCACCTGTCACCTTCAAAGAGTTTGCAAATGTCAGACAATGATAATACATGACAATGATTCCTAGACTTTGAATTTTCAATGAATTTAAGCTATGGCACAGACATTCTTCCTGTTATAGCTTCCCTTTAGAAGAACATCCCGAATATTGTAAGCCTTTGAGAGAGACACTTCTTCCAGGTACCTGCACACTGTGCTATAGCTGAGGACGAGGTCCTGGCTGACTTGGGAAAACATGGTTGTTACCTTTATTGTTACCGTCATAAACTCACTGTTCTTAAGATTAGATAAAAAGCAACAGACAGCTGGTGTGCATATAATGGGTCATATGATGGCGATGAATGGCTTCTTTCCTTAGTTCCAGAGATGAACCCTAACGTGGTGGTGATCTCCGTGCTGGCGATCCTGAGCACCCTTCTAATTGGACTGCTGCTCATCACCCTTGTCATTCTCAGGAAGAAACATCTGCAGATGGCTAGGTGAGTGAAGTTTTGTTAATATTTTATCTGGCATCTTTACAATGTTTTTACGTGCGTGTGTGTGTGTGCACGCATGTAGCTTCTATAGACTTAAATTGTCTAGTGGTAGATTTGATTTCAGCTTTTATTATTTTTATATCTGTTTTCTAAATCAACTTTTAAATATTCCTTTTTGAATGTGGCAAACAAAGCATTGCTTGATTGCACAAAGCCAGACCCCTTACTATCAGCAACTCTGGCATTGTAAGAAGCCCCCGTGTAGGAATCCTTTACCTTTGGGTACTATTTGACATATTGAGAGAAAAAGATTGATCCATTTCTGGTCTGTAATTGATAAACAAAGTTAATAAAAGAAGAAACCACAAGGTAAAAAAAAAAGGAAACAATCCTCTCATTAGTTCTGCTACATTGTTTTATCACAAAGCAGAGGTACAATTTATGATTAAGTCCCTATTAATTTCATGCCTCATCAGAAAACACTTACAGATTGAAGGTGCCCTATTAGCTTTTACCTGTCACTCAGTTGCAGCCTGTTTAGTTTTTCTTGCAGGTAGAATCGCCTTTATTTTTCCTGGTGTGGGGGTCAAAGCCAGAACATTTGGAATGCTAGGCAAGCACTCTACCAATGAGCTACAGTCCCAGACCCAGAAGAGAATTTTGATTTATCACTTCAGTGTTTCCTTATTTTATTTATTTATTTATTTGGTCACTGATCCATTGCTCAACAGAACGTGTTCTCAAGTATTTTCTGTTGTCCCGGTGTTATCAGAACAATACATTGATTCCCTTAAGCTGTTGCTTATTTGAGGACTGCTGGGTTTGGGAAATTTTTTTCCATTTTATATTTATCCAGTGTTAGCCTGCTAAATTGTAAATCAATATTGTTTTCCTTTCTCAGAGTTTCAACTATTCACAAATAAATCCAGCCGTCCCACAGTGGTTTAATCAGCACCTTATAGGGTACATGTAAAGAAAAGGCAGACATCAAATGTATTCAGTAGGAACTTATGACTTAGCCAGTAGAAAGAATAGCTGAGTTTAAATACGAAAATCAGTTTCATCAAGGTTAGCATCTGAATCACTCTTAGAATGATAAGGAAGGTGGGGGTGTTGCCCTGTATTTGGAGGGTAAAGCTCTGAAATCACACTCCTTAGGATCAAATCTTTTCCATGACTTAGAATTGGACAGGTCACTGAAGCTTTATTCATTCAGCAGCTATGAATTAACACCTATGTGTCAGAGTCCTCCGTATGCTTGGGATACAACAGCACATGACACTGAAAAAACTCGGGACATAAATAACATAGTTACATAGGATGTTAGCAAGTATTAAGATAAAATAAAGTGAGGGAGATTAACAGTACCAGAATGGGGAGAGGAGCCATGGAAATTAAGTACGTTTTGCTGAAAAGATGACAATTTTAAGCAAAACCTTGGAAAACATAAAGGAGATGGCCATGCGTTAGCTGCAGAAAGAGGATGACTGGTAGCAAGAGAAGCTAGTGCAAAGGCCCTAGGACAGGAACATGAATAACATTTTCAAAGACAAACAGAGAGGCTCATATCACAAATGCAGAAGAAGTAATGGAAAGAGTAACAGGAATGTCAGATCAGAAAGAGCTTCATAAACTATTGTGAGGACCTTGGCTTTTACTCTAAATTAAATAACAGCCATGGCACAGTTTGCAGCAGAATTTAACAATATCGTACTTGTGTTTTCATATTTTCATGTAGAAAACAAGCTCCAATAATGCAGGAAAAAAGGGAGTCATACCAGCTGGGGGAATGATGACAGGAATCCAGGCAAGACATGGTACTAGCTAGTCCAGAACTGTAGCAAGGGAGGTTGGGAGAAACAACTAAATCCTGCATAGTATTTGAAAACAGAGGAAACAGGGCTTGCAAACCAGTTGAAGGTGGAATGGAAATATACAAAGGAATCAAAGGAGTCGAGTACTGTGGGTTTTTTGTCTCTAGCAACTGAAAGAACGGAGTTGCCAAGAATGGGGAGAGGACTCCAGGTAAAAAGATGTGAGCGTTGGGGGAACACCCAAACATCAGCTTTAGAAATGCTAGGTTTGAGATGAACTACAAATACAGGTGTGGAACTGGCAGCTAAATAAGAAAGTCTGGGGTCCCCGCCAGAAGTTGTGCTTGGAGATACCAATCTGAGAGTTGTTAACATATAAATGGTGTTCAAGCTACAGGTTAGGTGAAAATCAGGAAATGAATGGAAACAGGAGAAGAAGGCCCTGGTTTAAGCATTGGAACAACCCAATATTAAAATTTCCAGGAAGAGAAGAAAGTAACAGTGTGAGGCAGCCAGTGGAGTAGGAAGAACTAAGAGAATGTAGTGGCCTGGAAGCCAGGGAGAAGACGCACTGGTGAAGAGTCGGGCACTAATGCAGCAGTCTCGTAGTATTTCACTTCTAGGAAATATGCCATGACTGCTAGTGCGTAACGGTAATAGCAGAAGGGATAATTAGATGTAGTAATGGAAATAGCAGTGCTTACAGGGTCTGCAGTACAATCTTTGTGGTGCATACAGCAGATTTTTAGGAAAGGTGGTTCTGACTTGTCCAGCTGGTCTTAAACCAGGGATTCTTATCAATTTTTTATGCAATGATCCTCTTCAGCAGTTAGAGAAGCCTGTGGATCCCTTTCAAGAATAATACTTGCTTTGTAAAAGCATAAAATAAAATACATAGAACAATATAATTCCACCGAAGTATGACATAGTATTTTAAAAGCAAATGAGCTGTATGCTTTAATTAGCACTTTAAGTATCCAACATTTAGTAGGACATCTAATAAATCATAATTTCATCATAGTGATGAATGAATGATATTTCAAGATATGTGCCTCAAGTCTATTGTATAAAAATGTCTGAAATTTCTACTATTAGCGCATGACAGGTGTCTATATTATGATGGTTTTATTTCTACTTCATGTATAAAAAGAACTGCTAAATTTTAGTTTCAGGCTATGAAAATGAAGGTGTGCTTATTTTCTCACTTTTGTTCATGGAGGCTAAATTCTATCTATGGACATCACATAAAGAACTCCTGAATTAAAGAGTAAAATAAATCCCACGTATATGAAATTGACACTGGAAAACATAGCAACAATGAGTAATTTTATGGTATATCATACAGTAATATTTTAGTGTATTTTGCAGAATAAAATTATTCTTAGACTACACTAATAAGAATGGTACATAACTGAAGGAATTTGTACCAGTTCCATCCAAAGCTCTATTTCAGTTTTTAATATAAGAGAAAGAAGCACAAGCCCCCAGTGCTGTTCTTTACAGATGATATTAGTCAAAAGGCAGGCATGAAAGTATATCTACTTTTTATCCATTTCTGGAGGAAATAATTTAAAAGTTTTTACAATAATAGACTAGTTGAAAACCTTCTAGATACTTCAAGAAACCAATGTATTCCAATATAAACCACTCATCTCAAATGATAAATGAGAAGTGCTTCATAATATAAGAAAATTTGGGGGGGAAATCTTATTTTACTACCACTATAGGAAAGTAAACAAAGGTCTATAAAACAGATCCCACACACATTTTACTAAATGTGGAAAATCCTCAGAGTTTCTAGAAAAGCCTCTATGCCTTCCTAATGAAGTCTTTGTGAGAAATATCATCCCCTCACATAGTACAAAGATTTATTTTAGGATCTCAAATACCCTTTGGCAAAGAATCTGAGTTAAATCCTTCTGGACTCAAATATGACTTGATTCACAGCCTTACAAAAGATATTTTGTCTTCTCTTCCTGTTTTACATTATAGACAGAAGAAGAACATTTGTAGAACTTACATTAGCTTTTTTTTCCCCCTTTTAATGCAGTCATGAGCCAGGAGTCTCTCTTTACTTTTATGTCAGGTAAAGGGTGCTTTGTCCAGCAGTGACCTTGATTTTTGTGGTTTCTTTCAGAGAGTGTGGAGCAGGCACATTTGTCAATTTTGCATCTTTAGAGAGGGATGGAAAACTGCCCTATAATTGGTGAGTATTGTTTTGGAATGAACCTTTAGATGGTTTAGAAATGCTACATGTGCACCAGACTCAATTTCCCTCTCTACAAGATATGTAGTTTTATCTGATTGCCCTATCATCATTTCAGTGGGACCTGGTTTTCCATGGCTAGATCAGCACAGGATATGATGGTTTCTGTAAACTTAATACAGTTCTGAAGCATGGAATTGTCCTAGTTTGTTCCATATAACTACATTACTCAAAGAATTAAAATAGTCATGCGAGGACCCCCAAGCCATGCTGAAGAGGGGTTCGAATGCAGAAGCTGGGCTGGACAAGTGGAGCTGAAGGCCCAAGGGGAGACTGGATTAAAACAGCTTGAGAAAGGGCTGCATCACTATGTCTCAACTTACATTTCCATGCCTGGAGACAGGAGTCAGCATTGCTGCCCTACAATTAAGGAGAGGTGTACAGCCCAGGGCAGTATTTACAGATTATTAAATATCAAAGCCAGGGATGTCGGAAAACATTTCCTCATTGTCTTTACACTTAAGTTTTAAGGACCTAGAGGGAGGAGATATTTGAGGAATAAAGAAAACAATAAAGATTCCATTGGTTGACCTTGTAACTAACAATGATATGCAGAAATTAATAGTCCTATCCAGTTCAGTCAAAACTGAACTAATTAAGTGTACATTTAAAAGGAAGCCAGCACTCCTTACATAACCTAGTTTGTTTCTGTTGCAAGCAACCATGCAAATACATACGTATTTAAAATATATTTAAATACATAAAGTTCATATCAATCCTTGGTGATTTTTTCTATTTTCTAACAACCCCCCACCAATAGTTAATCTTAAAGAAATAGGCAGGAATGAACATAAATTTTACTTCAGAATCAGGGAGGGAAGGGAGGACTTTATTTATTTATAAAAATGTCACTTCCCTGAATATGAAAATCTAACTGAAAAATGTTTTTTTTAAAAAAACAATATTTTGTGCCATTTTGTAATTTTAACATATACAGAATTTTGCTTTTAAACTATGATTAATCGGATTGTGGAGAAAGAGAATCTTGTGAATTCTTGATGGTGAAAGTCGGTTTGTTCAAATATATCAGCATTGAGATTCAGGGCTTGAATCACTCATGACTGCCTGGGCCAATCTTCTAAAGGCCTAATCTTGCCTGTAATGCTGGCTACTTAGAAGGCTGAGGCAAGAAGATCCCAAGTTTAAGGCAAACCTGTGCAATTTAGCGAGACTGTGTTAAAATTTAAAAAGCAGTCATCACTAAAAGGGCTTAGAGATACAGCTCAGAACTCACTGGGGTCAACCCCAGTACAGAAGGAAGGAAGAGAGGGAGTGAGGGTAGGAAAAACCAGCACTTGAGAGCAGTGATTGATGCACAGTCCCTTCAGGAGCTGATCCTCTTGCCCTGGGGCTCAAGAGGCCCATGAATTAACTAACTTTATCATCAGTCACAGCTTGTAATATTTATGGGAGGCCAGTATGGGAAGAGCTAAAGCCAGAGAGAATTCACTTCAGGACCTTTGTAAAGTGAAGCAAATTCTTCTGCAGCTCCTGACAAAGACAGTTTGTCATGTTTTCTGCCTGACTAAGAACAGCTCTCTCAGTGGGGATCTGTTTTAACTAAAGTGACAAGGTGACAGCACTTTTTCCTCTAATTCTGAGAATAGATGCAGCCACGGGATATTTTTAAATCTACATGAATGGATATTCTGCTTTACCAGAGGATTGAATATCTGAAGTTGGATTCAACCCAAACATTTGAAAACAAGGGCCTGAATTAGAACTAAAGTAAAACCCAATAATTTCGCTTCCACCGAACTGAGTATGGGTGAGACAACAGACCACACAATGAATGGATGAGCTGCTTATTTTAAATGAATAATGCCCAAGTATCATATATATTATACCTCTGAATTTAGGAATATTCTTAGAAATTAGAAAACAATTTAAAAAGAACACGATACAGAAAGTCACATATAGTAGTCCAGCTTTATATAATGTTTCCCAAAAGTTTAGCTGTTATGAGAATCAATGTAAGGAGCCTGACCATTTATCTCTCCTCACGCAATCTCCTGTTCAGCTATGAAATGACATCATAGAGGTTTCTTAAAATAGGTTTGAAGCACTGGAAGGGTGATATCGGAGAATAAGACCTAGATAAATAATGAGGCACTTGAGAGCCTCGTTTCGCTAAATGTAAAATGCAATCACCTAATGGCAGACGAACTGACACAAAATAAGTTGAAAGAAATATATCTGATTATAATAAGGTCTTATGTGAATAAGAACTGATTTTGTCAATATTGTAGCACTTAAGAGCTCACTTTCAAATCTCACAGGATGGAGTAATATTTAATTGTTAATTAAGGCACTTGTCATATTAATTGATCCCAGTAGATAATTTACTGATCTCTGTTCACAGTTTATATTACTAACTCTTGCACTTTTTCATCCTTACATCTGTTATCTATTAATGCTCACAGGCGTAGGAGTATATTTGCTTTCTTAACCCTGTTACCTTCATGTCTTTGGACTGATTACCTTTTGGCATTTTATATTAATCCTTGGTAAGTGATTTTTTTTTTACTGTTTACCTAACATGTAATCTCTAAAAGTTATCTTTTAAAAAGTAAACAAAAAGGAGAATTTTCTTTTTAATTATTCTATGCATTTGGCAGCCTCTGAAATTATTAATAATGTATTGAAATGCAGTGAAACAATTTCTGGTATCACAATGCCTATAGAGATTTTCCACTTAAATTTTCTTCTTATGGCATTTTTGGCAAGTTTTTCTTTTATTTATTACTAGTCATTTGTTTTTCATCAAGTCAATTTATTGACCTCTCATGTTTGTGAATGACACTTTCCATTTCCTTCCCATCTTCATCCATGAGAGAGCTCCATATTTCCAAAAAGTAAGGTAGAAGAACTAGGGTAAATATTCTGTATTTTGGGGCCTCTTCATTTTTATAATGTTGACTCACTATATATTGAATAGCTATGTGCATGCCTCTTTGCATAATTGTCTTAATTATCCCTCACAATCCTAGAGTATTACAATCCCATTGTAGAGATGTGAAAATAGAAGCTTAAGGAGAGAAATTATGTTAATATCATGTTCTACCATATAAGAAGTTCAAGTTCCAAATCCAGATCTTTGTTATATTCTTGACTTCTAAATCCTTTTATTCAAATCTTGAAATGTATTCTTTTTGGGTTTTCTGAGGCTACAAAATCTAGATGGATGATTTCTTTTCCTAAGCCAGAAGAGAAATGATAATGGTTTTTCAGGAGACTGACAAAGTCATTAATCTTAAATACAAGCACAAATACATGGTGTGTAGGTACTAAATTGTGTACAGTGAGATCCAGAAATGTGGGCAGCTCAAGAAGAACTCAGAAGAAAGCAGTACAAATATCTCATGAAGTGGAAAAACTGAACCACAAGAGGGAGGAAGGAAAGGGCAGCAATCTGGAGAGATAATCCATCAAAAAGACCATTATTCAAATGTTCTCCCAGTTCTCTAAAGACAGAATAAATACAGGTGGCAGAATGTAGGGTTGCAAGTTGCCGTGGAATAAATACATTTTTTAAAGACTTCCTCAAAATAGATTATTAATACCAGAATTTGTACTTTCTTTTAAAGATTTTGAGAAAAGGCAGATGTATGTCATAAAGTCAGGGGGGTATACTGAAGGATCAGTTTACACTCACTGTTATTTTTACAGTGTTTGGGGTAAAGCTTCATTATAATCTCAATTTCCCTTATTAATTCTCTCAGACTTTCTCATTTTCCACAGTTCATTTTTAAATTTTTGTCAAGTTGACCTGTGAGTGTGTGTGTGTGTGTGTGTGTGTGTGTGTGTGTGTGTGTCCTGTCTTTCTTAAGGTCCTGTGATGAGCACATCTTCAAATTTCAGCAAGCCCTTCAAGGGCTGCCATTTACAGTACTTATCAAATACAACAAGACCCAACATAGGCAAGGAAAAAAAACCTTCAGCAGTTTCTGGAAGAATCATTTTGAGACTGTAAATGTCTATCTCCAGGTGAAAAAAGAAGGCGAAACATAGAGCCCCGTGCTTCCTGTCACTTTCAGAAAAGTTTGCATATATCAACCAGTGAAAATATGCAGGATGTAAACTATGTTCTCAGCCCTAAGTTTGTGCTACATCGGATATAAAAGAAAACTTCGTGCTCCTGCCCATCCAGTACAGCTCAGCCTTCTTGTAATCGCTTCAGTTCCTTACTGTTCGCTTCTCCCATGGCTTGCCGCCATTTTCCTTTGCTTTCATTTGCTCGTAGTCTTTATGAACCCTTCCTCCAGAGACGGTTGTCTTTGTACTTTATCCTGTGCACTATGGCCACAACTTACAAAGCTATGCACCCCCACACTTCCGAACACATCGCCTAAGTTCCTCTAGAAACCATGAATTTCTTGGACAGATGTGTTCAAACTGACTTTCTACGACTTTGTTGTGCCTGTAGGTGTTGGTGTGGAAATCCAGAGATACTCTCTTAGATCATGTTACTCATATCTTTGCCCAGGATGGTGGCAGAATCTGTGCCTAATTAAGATAGTCTTGGGATTCTGTTTGTCGGAGATTATGATCTTAGAGCATGTTTCCCACTGAAAAAAATCACCTAATTAGAACTAGCCCTGTCTAGGCTAGGTGCCGATGTTTGCGTGTTTTTGCTAGTACTGCCTGCCTCGTACTGTGCTTAAGTATCCATCTGCCTTTTCTAACCCCAGAATAGTTGACATGCTAAGCACAAGCTGCCTTTAGCTTCCAGAGGCCAGCTCGTGGTCATCGCAATTGTATTTGGAGGATGATACTACCCTAAAGAGCTTTTGTAGATTTTATAATGGCTCACATAAAAGTTGCACTTATGAAATTGGGAACTTTGGGGGTTTTGTTCTGTTGTGTTTAAACCATTATAAATTCCCTGTCTCTGCCTCATATTCTTCTTTGGAATGAACTCCAGTGTGGCTGCTCCTCCAGGCTGTCATAACCATAAAAGTTTCATAAAGAAAGCACCTTAAATTCTTGAAGTCACTGGGATTTGGGACCTGACCTAATATAGGGGAAAAGAAAAAATTGAAGAAGTGCATGATTCTGTATGCATGTATACACTGGACATCTGAGGGATATTGTTAATTGGGTATTTCAAAAATAATTTACTGTGAAAAAAATGGTACCCTACATATTGCCCAAATTTTTCACTATATGCACACACACACACACACACAGAGCTAGCTCTTTACACATTATTAGTATATTAGTGAAGTCTTAACTCACACATTTCAAGTGAATTTCCCCCCTTGTTTTTGCTTTGCAATCAGCATAGCAATTGAACATGTAGGAAAGTTCTATTTATATTGCTATGGAATCTCATAATTCAACCCTGTCATAATTCCATAACCTTTATATACAGAAACACTTCTGAATCAGTAAACTCTAAATGCAACAATGAAAGTTGTACATAATTCAGGAAATTGTGACTCTATGCCATGCAAAATAGGGGGTAAATTGCTACATGATACTGAAAGTCCACTCGATAATGAATGAGGTTTCAAGAAAAAAAAACTGTCTCTCCTCCATGAATCCGGTTTCTACACAGCTGTTGAATAGTAGCAGCTTAATATTTCAGCACTGAATTTATTCAATGCCGCTTTCTTGCATACATCTGTTTCCTCCTAGTTTCCCTGAATGTCTACTTGAATAAGAAAACATTTTTTTGTTCCCACCAGTCTCAGGATATATTGGCAGCCTCCTGACTTTACTAGAGCAGTTAGCCCTCTGTCCTGACCTTCTGCTTTCATAAAGAGCTAAAGTAATTGGCTATTACTACACAAAGTAAATGTGGAATTCCTAAAAAAGATCAATAGATATTTCCTTAGGTTCCTGCATGCCTACAGTGCTGTCCAAGATTATAGTGGATTTTTGAAAGAGGCAGAGTTAAAGCTGGTGTTCCAGTCTGACTTCTAAGTAAGGAAGACAAAAAGAATGAGAGAGGAAAAAAAGAATGAAAAGAACTATTGAACACACTGTCTTTACTTATGAGTAGGAAGAAATGAAATCTAGAAACACTATCTCTGTGAATGTTTTCTTACCTTTTCTGACATCAATGACTTCCTCTCCTTCATCAGTCTCATTTACCCAATCAGGACCTCACTAGCCCATCTAGCATCAAATTCTTAATTGAAGCAGTAAGTGCAATTGTGAGGTTAACACTGCAAAGATGCTTTGCGTCAGTTCAATTCAATAAGTATTTATTAACCACCTGCTGTGTGTGCCACTGGCCATGCTCAGACCTGCTCGGGGATAGTAGTGTTCCAATGGGTGCCTACACACCCCACCTAACAATCGTATAAGGGTCATATAACATGAAGAATGTTCCCCTTGCAAACCGCTATGAAAGCAGACAGAAAGCAGTGCTTCAGGCAGTGAAAGGCTTTCAGGATGTACACAAACATTCACAATTTAAAGTACAAGTAAATATTTTGATACATGGGGTATTTATATCACAATTGAAACTATGAAAGCAGACAGAAAGCAGTGCTTCAGGCAGTGAAAGGCTTTCAGGATGTACAGACATTGAAACATTCACAATTTAAAGTACAAGTAAATATTTTGATACATGGGGTATTTATATCACAATTGATTATTTAATATGGACATTTATGCTTTGAAAATCTCCCCTGCTTCCATGAAAAGTACTTAAAGATCTTTGAAAACTACATATAACAAGATGTTTACTGTCATTTACTATATTTTAATACTTCTCATTCTTATAAGACAGTAAAGTACAATAACAAAATGGCTCAATAGATGCACCTTACCATTAGGTAATTTAGATTAGTTCTCTTGTCCGTGGCTTGAAATCACTTAGCCAAAATCCCACTAAGCAAATGTAATGAACCAAAGCATGCATCAGCATTTCGCAGGTTTAAATTTATAGACGATTAATGAGTTAAGAAGAAGCATGTGATAAATCCAACTCTCCGAATAGTTTAAAACCTAGTTCAAAAGAATAAGAACAATACTGTGGGAGGATTATGTGAGTCACGCATGCTGCGAACACAAATCCATATTCCTTATGACAATGTCAGAAAAGGTCATTTTAGCCTTTGGTTAAGGAATATAAGCATGAAGAAAAAATTTAAACAGAAACCAGTATTATGCAACCAAGTTCTCCTTTTTATTTCCTGATTCTTCCTTCTTGCCTACAGAACCTGAGTAAGCAGGCAACAGAAGCTTCTATATATTCACAAAACACTTTAGCAACTTTATCACTAGGAACTTAAAATTATATTTATGTAGCTAATATTTCTTTGCAAAAATGAAATATAAAAGAAGGGCATATTCCTGCAACCTAATAGAGTTTTTAAATATGAATCTAAAATCATGATCATTATCTTCTCATCAAAGGAAAAGTAATTTAACAAACCTTTTTCTTTTTTTTTTTTTCCATTAAGTTTACTGGTACATTTAAAGCAAACAATACAGTTACATTTATCTTGTACCTTTACATGATACGTCTTGGTTTTTGTTTTCTCCCCATCCCCCTGCCCTCCCTTCACCCCCTTCACCCTTCCCTATTTACAAAGACTGTGTTTCCACTTTTTCATTTTTCACATTTTTTTCTTTGCCCTTATTTCCTTTCCCCTCCCGCTTCCCCTTCTCCTTTAGCCCCTTTCTTCCTATTTCACATTATCAGTTATACCCTTTGAACCTTATTTACACTTTTAGTTTTTCACACCAGAGAAATTATTCAGTTTTTACTCAAGTGTGTCCTATTTATTTCACTTAAGAGTATAGCCTCAATGTGCATCCAGTTAGCTATAAATGTTCCTAGCTTCTCATTCTTTATGGCTGAATAAAACCACATCTTCTTTATAGAGAAACCACATCTTCTTTATCCAGTTTCCAACTGATGGGCAAATGAGTTGTTTCCAAGTTTTAGCTATTACGAACTGTGCCGCTATAAACATGGGTGTGCATGTATCACTGTGGTATGATTCTTTTAGTTCTTCTGGAAAGATACCCAGCGGAGGGATAAGCTGAGGTACATTTAATAAAAATTAAATAAAATTGAAGTACCTGGTGTATTTAAGGCTCTTCAATTTTAATCATTATTATTAATCAATTCTTTCACCCAGATAAATTTATTGTTTTTTGTTTATCAGGAGTAAAAATGGTTTAAAGAAGAGGAAACTGACTAAGTAAGTTTCTCTTGATGTTTCATTTTAGAAGATTTTTGTCATAAGAATCTTAAGTTTCCAAATTAAAAAGGCTGTTTGTCTTCAAATAAAAAGGGTGCTTATGGAAGAGGTAAGTGTGTTTTGTGAAAGCCAGGCTTAGAGTATTTTGGTGTGTTTACACACATGAATGGGGGGAACAAGGAAGAATTTTACCATAGAAGCCATGTCAAGAATAAGGACAATTCTCGCCTTATGAAATCTACGAAAAAATGCATTGTTAGACATAATACAAGTCTTTCAAGAGGAAGGATGGATTTATGCACTTAAAAATCTACTGCTTAGAGGGGCTGGAGATTTAGCTCAGTGGCACCGCACCTGCCTCGCAAGCACAAGGCCCTGAGTTTGATCCCCAGTGCCAAAAAAAAAAAAAAAAAAAAAGAAAAACCTACTGGTTAGATATATCAAAAGGATACAAAAACCTTCACCATTTTGTATTTTCAAGCCCTGTTTATTTCAAAGAATGGCTTTTACTCTATTTGACATTATAATAGATCCCAGAAAACCTGTATAATAAATAGGGAAGATTGTTACTCTGGCTAGTCTGTGGTCTTATCTACTGAATTGTTAAGTCATCAGAATAAGCCTTCACCTGATTCAAAAGCCTGTTAGATGATCAGCTCCAGGCCTTTTGTTAGTTAAACCATTACCTATAAAGAGAGCAATTTCTTAAAATAGAGTTCATTCTTGATACATGATTAGGATAGAACATTTGTACATTAGTGCAAGGAGGGACTTAGGGGCTTCAGCCAAGCGTATGACATCCATGCAAATGGAAAAGAAAACATGGAGTAATCTGTGATATAACCCAAAAGAAACTTCATGTAAAAATATCTTTATTTAGCCCTGAGGGGCTTATAATTTTATGGCACATAGAGTTGAGGCAGTTTTTCCTAAGCCTGTTTCACATCAGTATGCATTGCATTGGCACCGACCAGCTGGGATAGGAGAGACAAGCCCAGCCTCTGAAGAGCAAGGGTACTGCACCTATCACACAGAAACAGAAATACTTTGTCACCCAAAGACTATTGGTTAGGTTGTCAAGAGAGAGGCATAAAATAGAGCACCCAGAGGACAGGGTCTGGAGACCAAAATAAAAAAGGGTGATTAACTCATGAGTTCTCTCTCCCAAGACCCAGGCAGAGACATGGAGAAGGCAGACATGGACAAAGGTTTGTACAGCTGAGGGGTGACAGGTCCTGCCCGCTGGCCCCAAACCACTAAACCAGTAGCTTTCTCTTTTTCTCATTTTCTGCCTAGTCCTCTCTCAGCTCCAGAAGCTGTTTCTTTTAGGCCTCCCCTCTTTTTCCCATTTGATTTCTTTCCTTTTCCAAACACCCCACCATCCCTAAGTCCATAGCTCCCCTTTGTTATCTCCTCTGATTTTCATCCCATCCCTCCTCTTTCTCTTCCCCTCTTTCCCCGCTGCCCACTCTCTCTCTAGCTTTCTTTCTCTCTTCTTCTCCCTGTGTCCCCATGAACTCACTCATCCTCTCTGGTCCTTCTGTCTTCCTTTCCCCTCTGAGTCTTGATTTTTGCTTCTACTGACCCAGAAGTATTTTTCCTGATCGGTCCTTCCTGTCCATGCTCTCGTTTTCCTGGTAACAAGATGGAAACTGAGAATGTTAAATCCAACTTTAAGGTCAGTGCCCCCCGTGCTCAACAGCATCACCAGAGAGTGCAGTTCATTACTGACGGAGATCATTCTAGGTTAGGAGCCTCGCTTTTAACCATTGCTTTGAAAGATTAACAAGTCTGAAGTAGGACCTGCATTCAATTTCCACCACCAAGAAAAAAAGAAGGAGGGAGGGAAGGAGAGAGAGAGAGAGAGAGAGAGAGAGAGAGAGATCTACTAAAACCTTAATATAAATTAATCTATCAGAAGCTAAGCTACCACTTTAAGCAAATATCTATTAAATACTGTGTATTTACTAAGAAGCCACAGATAGATGATGTGAGTTGAGTAGCATGTCACAAATTTAAGGGAAAATTCAACTGCGTGGACCCTACCAAGGTGGAAAGGCCTCAGTTAGCTGACAGAATATGGAAAATTGGAAGAAGCAGGTCCCAGAAGAGATAAGCAGCCACAGAAAACTACAGAATGTACAATTTAAGACTTATTCACACACACACACACAAAACATGACAGAGGTGGGAAATTCTGCTACAGATGTAGGAATTGCTGGTTATTCCTCTGAGCTATTTCAATATTTTTATAACTCTGGAAGCCCTCAAGTATAGCTCACACAAACCCAGGGAGATTTCTAGACAAGGCCTGCAATGTGGGTTACTGTGGCCAGCACTACAATTCCTGGGACTTGAAAATCTGTTTAAAATCATGAGGTTCTTTATAAACAATATTTCAGCCTTGTGAGGTAGGTAGGACTATAGTATCTTATTAATGACAATGATGAATCTCTGAAGTGTTGGGTAATTCTCCAGAATCACATTGTAAACAAAAAATTATGAAACCTAATTCAAACAGGCCTTTGAAATGTAATCCTTTATTTTGCCCATATGGCAAAGTTTTTTTTAAAACCACACACACATAGATCTACATCTATAGATTAATATATTAGCATATGTAATATTTTATTGCCATAATAAAAGTCAAGCATAATTCTAGAAATTTCTACTGTCTTCTGGAAGTTTTGTATATATGCTCCTCTTTTTAATCACAATATATAAAAAACTGGTAACTTTAACCAAAAACAAAACAAAATTGAGTGTTAACCTTTGAGAAGCAAAACTTCCATTTTCCTCAAGGACAGTGTTCATATTTGAGAAATAGTATATAATACTCATCAATAGGATTTTTAAAACCTACATTTCTTTGTGTTTGGCAAAGCCCGGTTCAGCTGGATGACTTTGATTCCTACATCAAGGACATGGCCAAAGACTCTGACTATAAATTTTCTCTTCAATTTGAGGTGAGTCGGGTACAGCATTTTCTACCTTCTATAATGAGTAGGACATGGAATGGTCAAGGGTGTGCTGGGGTCTTTCCAGAACACTGTCTGACTTGTGGTTCTATAATAGATGAGGTTGGTGGTTGGACTGGGTCCGGTTACTTTCACTGCTCAAGACAAGGGTCACATGCCCTTGGATACATGGTCAGATCTTGGAAGGCAAAAATGAAAGGAAAAAAAAAGAAGAGATGCAGGTATTGAGGGGAGCAGCCCTAGCTGTAGGAGAAGCCATCACTGAAAACTAGGGAAATCAAGTATAAGAACAAAAAAGCAAACTGAGGCCTGAGGACAATTTCCCTTTCAGGAAATTTTCAGTATGTCTTTTGGGTGACTTAGGCCATAGGAGGGGTGGAGGGGAGCTGAAACTCCCTCCCTTTGTCTCCTGGGGATGTAACCACCTGGGGTTGAACTTTCAGACCTGTAGGTTCCTGGCATGCTTCCTAATACTTCTTTGTACCGTTTTATTTTCTTTGCTTGGAAAAAAAAAAAAAATGGAGAGAAAGAGATGCATGATTTGTGTAGAAAAAGAATAAAAAAGCCAATACCTCTATTTTTTTCCTCCTCAAAGCATCTTATTTTAGTCAGCTTTCTCATTGCTGGACAGAATACACCACACTCACAACGTAAAGGAGGAGCAGTTTAATCTGCTCATAGTTTCGGTCCACGGCCGGCTGCCTGCAAAGCGGAAACAACATGGCCCACGGGTGTGGGGAACAAAGCTGTTCTCTTCAGGACAGCCAGGAAGCAGGGTAACAGTACCGGAGGGGAAGGGCACTTAACACCCTGACACAGCCCACCCAGACACACCCAGGAGCCTGCTTTGCTAACGCTCGGCGTTTCTGCACCCAGTGAAGTTGACACGGACGGACTCGAGGCCACACCTATACGCTGCTTTGTGTCAGCGAGGAAGTGTGACGGGCACAATCAGTGCTCACTGCTGACCGCAGCCCCAGCCCGTAACAGTCTCACGTTCTTCAGATGCCCACCGTGTGGGACAACTGGTCCGTGATTCAGTACAAGGAAAAAGGAAAAGTGATTTTTCTAAATTCTGTACTTCCTTTTTTTAAAGTGTGAACTTTTAAAAATTGTAGCATCTGCTTTTGCTCCTTTTTTTTTTTTTTTTTTTGCATAGTTCATTTTATTCACTTGTTCTTTCCCCTAATCAGCCAAATATAGCTTCAGACTACAAAAAAGCAACAACAGTCCCGGTGTGGGCATTCTTACCGGGAATTTGAGCATGTGAAGAATCTTAGATCTTATCAAATACAAAGCCCCCAAATTACCATGCACGCAGTGAGAAATTCCACACACAGCCTGCTCAGTTATCCACTGCCTGCAGGTACGTAAGAAATTGTTGATCTACACCAGATGTTATTTCTCAGAGAGAGAAATTCAATTCGAATGAGATCTAGAGTGAAGTTGGCATTCTTTTTTTAAAAAGTCTATCAGCAAAAAAAGAATATTTTTATAAGAAAGCAACAGCTGGACCTGGTGGCACAGTCTGTAATCCTAGCGACTTGGGAAGCTAAGGCAGAAGGAACACAAGTTTGAGGTTAGCCTGGTCAACTTAGCAGATCCTGTCTCAAAAATTCAAAAGGAATAGGGATGTAGAACAAGCCTGTGTTCAACACACACACACACACACACACACACACACACACACACACACACAACCAAAATTCTACAATGAACAATTAGATGATTCTGATAATGGGGATGAAAATGGTGGTGTAACTGCTCTTCCAATCGAATTAAAGCCACATTTTCTTAATTCTTTGAGATGATACGCCACTCGTGGCCCAGCTAGGATCATTACCTCCGCTGGGAACTCACACTTGCTGCCCTCAAACCGAAATGTAACTGTTACTGTGTTCCTGAATTGCTTCATTGTTTTAAACTTTCAATGTCGTTTTCTGGTAAAAACAAAAAAGAAATTGTTTTGGTTGCAACAGACACATGATTCAAACTAGTTTAGAACAAAGGAAAAGGAGATCTAGTCAAAGAATAGCCATTTTTCGTATAGAGCCAAAGGAGGGTTTAGTAGCTAAGCCACAGGATGGCAAGGACTGAGGTACTGGAACCTGGGCCCCATCCACCCCAGGGGCCCCTGATTTTTATTTCTTATTCCCACTCTTCTCTCCATCTTCACATTCACTGCAAGCCAACTTCTTTTCCATAGTAGAAAATGGGGCCACCAACAGCCCCTGAGCATCACTTCCTTGTTTCACGGTTTGCAGAGAGAGCTATTGGTTCTGTCACTCACAGTTTGAAAATTGTCAGGGGGAGTTCGGATGAACCATCCCAGTCCATGGCACCCGCTCAAACCAGCTGTAACCAGGGAGGGCAGAGTCACATGAGCTGTTACTAGAAGAGCTAATGTGGCTAAATTCACCAAATCAAAGAAGGGGAGAGCATTATGTTCCAGCAAAGAGAGGCCATAGGGAGAATCAAGCAAATGATTTCCATGTAAACTTTACCCTGAAATCATCAAAAGCAGCATTATAAATGTTATGTGCTCAGTGTTCATTTTATTATAAGCTGAAGACTTATACAATCAAGACATAAATTAACCTATTTAGTTTTATTCGTAGGATTTATAATAAAGGTAGGAAATGAACTCAAGTAGGAGTCTAAAATTTTGGTCTCATTATCATTTGCCACTAATTAATATAGGGAAAAAAATCACACTTTCTCAAAACCCATTTCTTTAAATGTAAAATGGTTTTTTTAAACTATCTCAATGGTTCTCAACTGAGCACATACCAGATAGTCCCGAAGAGGGAGTTTTGTGTGGTATGGATTTTCAGCGTTAGGATAGCTGAGCAGGAGGGTAATAATAGTATTTAATGGAAGGCCCAGGATGTTCTTCAATGCATATGCAATGAACAGTTGTCGTGGGCCAAAAGGGTTCCACTGAGAAATGTTGGATTAAGTGTGGGACAGATTCAACCAAGCTTTATATAACTCATGTATTGATCAGAGTTCTTCAGAGAAACCAAAAGGATCTGCAAATATTATAATTAATAATACAAAGATAGATACAGATATACAGACAGGGGAATTGTTTTATGGTTCAAATGAGGGTGGAAATGGGCAAGTCTGAAATCTGTGAGTCAGGCTAGAGACCCAGGGAAGAGCAATGGCAGTCTTGAATCTGAAGGCCAGAGGGAGGCAGAATCCATCCTCCATGGGGTATCTGTCCTTTCTTCTCTTGCATTCACTTTATGGAGGGTAATGTACTCTGCTCGAACTTTACTGATCAAAAGTTCAATGGCTTTTGAAAAGAGTGATTTCCGGACTGGTGTCTGACAGCAAGCACCTGAGCACTGTCGCCTGGCCAAGATGGCACGTGAAATTAACCATCATTCCACAGCTTAAAGAAGCATTTAGGATTTTTATTTATTATGAAGATGTTTTCATGAAGCTTTCTTCTTAGACCATTATTGGTCATATCCGTGATTGATTTTGTGCCAAGTTCTTATATTACATGCATGTTCCAGGGTAAAGACTACAACTCTGTATCTATACCTGGGCATCTTTTAAGCCACGGGTGTAGACCATTTTAGACCAGTATTTGCTCAAGCCGTGACCCGCGGGTATCACTGCCTTTTTCGCTTGCCGCCTCTCACCTGCCACATCCTCAGGTTCAGTGGCAGAATTTCTCACCTACCTTGAAAGGAGCATTGTGCTTGATTTCTGGGTGAATACCACACCGTTCACTAGGAAGTCTTCATATGTTGATAGATATTGAGGCTTAAGGGGATCAAAATGCTTCCAGCTCTAATGTGAACCCAAGAGGGTACCGAGCTGGCTGAAGCCACTGAGCCTGGTGAAATCCAATAGCTGTGTGGATATTTGTCCTGCTTACATGAATATTTACCACACGCATTCCTTTTGATACTGACATTGAAAGATCACACTTACATTGAGAAATTGCATCATTTATAAGCATTATGCAAATTGAAACTGTATTTACATATATTATCAATACAGCTATAAGTCATACATGAAGCTATATGGGTTGCTAATTTGTGTGCACTGAATAAATTCCCTTTTCACTCTGCATCTCATTTTGGATCTGCTGGAAAGATTGATTATCCTTCTGACAAAAATACACATCTTAAGGAGGTTTGGGACCCAGGGATTAAAATCAATCAGCTCCTCATTTCTGACATCTCATATGAGAAGGTCTTGAGAGAAGCAGACTTTAGAACTTGAAGTGTGAGTGCCACAAGACTTACCACATGTGGCTTGTTCTGCTGGTAATTTCTGGGATCTGAATGACTAGCGTGATAGCAAAGGTCTGAGCCATTTTTATTGGGAAATCTCAGTAAAATAAATGTCAAAGTTCAAAATAAAACAACAGAAATTGCCATGCAATTCACAAGGGACAGCTTTGTTCTTTTGATGGCATTTGCAGCTGTATTTTCTTCAGTCCAATTCACTGGAGACTTAGGTGCAGTCATTGTCGGAAAAACCTCGAAGCTCGTCCAGTAGTTCTCATATAAGGAGGTCTTTACCCCCAGACCTGAGCTTTTCTCTCCTCTCATTCCTTCTTCCTTTCCCAGATGTTGGTCTCTGGACTTGTACTAGTAATGTGTCCCTTGATTGGACTGCCACCCCTAAATCCCGAAGCTCAGGGGCTTGCTAGCGATTGCTAGACTTTTCTAAGGTTCATTTCCTTCTCCTCCAGTCTCGCATCTTCTACCCCAGATTCCTGTCATTACTACACCTTCCTCTTCTTTAGGCACGTGTTTTAGTTTGAGTTGTGTCCCTGTTACCAAAGCTACATAGACGCCCCATCTTCTGGCACTTCAGAATCTAACCTTATTGGAAAATAGGATTGTTACAGATGGAATTAGTTAAGATGAGATCATAATGGAATAGAGTGGGCTCTTAACCCAGTATGACTGGTGTCTTTATTTTTTAAAATGCCATGTGAACACACACACATACACAGAATGCCATGTAAGCAAGGATTTCCACTAAAATAATCAGAAGGCATGCGATCCTGCCAGCCTCTTAATTTCAGACTTCTGGGCTCCAGAACTGCTAGATAATAAATAGTCCTTGTTTTAAGCCAAGAAGTTTGTGGTATATTGTTATAAAGCATATCAGGTGACTTAATACAGTACCTCACTAGGTAGCTTGTTCTAAGTCCTTTTTCTTCTCCTTTTGCATTTTTCTGAAGACAGTCACGCACTGTACAATTTCCTTGGACTTCTTAAATGCTATGGATTGGGCATTTCCCCTCAGTTCTCTGCCCCTGATCACAAGCAGCCTAGTAATGTGGCTTATCCGACTGTAATGTCCAACCTAGCCCCAAGCAAACACCAAGTATTCTCACCTGTTGACATTACTGCAATCTCCAAGACCAGAATACAGTTTGTGCTTTTCTCAGATGACACTAGTACAGATTATGTGTGATTTGTGTTCTCCCAAAATGTATGTGCGTAAGGCCTAAACCCAGTGTGATACTCATTTGAATATTACCCCTATAGGTGGAAGTAATTAGGGTTAAAAGAGATCATGGGGGGGCCCTCATAGTGGAATTAGTGCCCTTACAATAAGAATCCCTTGTGAGCTCTCCCTGCTCCTCTTCCCTCTCCCTCTCTCCCCCCAAGTGGGAAGACACAAGAGTTACACACAGATACAGAAAGACAGAGAGTGACTACCCAGAAAGCAAGGGAAGCCTCGGATTGATATCTACTTTTCTGGCATCTTAAACTTGGCCTTCTCAGCATCCAGGGCTATGAGAACTGAAAATCTGCAATTTAAGCCACACTTGCTGGTATTCAGTTGTGGCAACCCATGCAGACTAACCGATGCATATGGTAGTTCTTTGCTTTTCCAGACTTCGGTGCTTCAGTCACAACCAATACAACATAGCCACTGGGCCTGGGAGACTGTATTCATTCATAGAGCTCCTGTAGTGACTCACCCCAACTCGTCAGCTTAAAACAACAAATTTATTCTTACCATTGTCCATGCCAGGAGTCCGAACTCAGTGTGTCAGCAGGCCACGCTCCTTTGAAGGCTCTAGAGGAGAACTGTTTCTTGGCCTCTCTCAGCTTCTTGTGGCTTCCAGGGCTCCTTGGCTGGTGGCTGCACCACTTTGGTCTCTGCCGTGGTGTGTACATGGCTGTCTCCTCTTCACCAGCACGATCTCACCTTACGATCCTCTGTCAGTTACATTTCTCTCGTTGCTAAGACAAAATACCCGACATCCAAAGTTGAAGGGGGAAAGGTTTATTGAGCTCACCTTTTGTGGAGGTTTCAGTCCCTTAGCTGGCTCCAAGGCAGGGATGGCAGACAGGCATCACAGAGAAGAAACAACATGGTGCACACAACTAAGTAGCAAAAGCAACAAGGGGACCTCAACAGCATCTTTCTGCCCCTTTTATGTCATCCAGACTACTGGGATTAGGGCCATACTAAACCAATCACTCATGTATAGTAATTTAGTAATCACGGGCCCTTAATACCAGCATCGCACAGCCCAGATTCAGCCACTTCTGAAAAAGACTGCATTAGCTTGGGGGGAACATCTCGACACAGCCATAACACATCCTTAAGGACTTAATCTGCAAGGACGCCTCAGAAAGGGTCACATTCACAGATTCTGGGGCTCAAAATATAAATGTCATCTAGGGGATTGACACCCAACCCATATAGATGACTATATAGTCTGGAGAAAAATGAAGATGATAGATTATATTAGAAACAAAACTGGCAAAAGAAAATTCAAAAATGATTTGTGTTGGTTTCAGGCCATCACTCCCATACTTTGTCTTTACAAAGATTTAAGCCTCTGGTATTTCCATATGGTTGGAAAGAAAATAACTGCGAAGCTACTGAACTGGAAACTTAGTCTTTGATTCTCCACTTAGTGACAGGCTAAATTACAAAGACTGCAAAGCATTTTGTGTATCCAGGCAGCCCCTGCTTTGCTGCAATTCCACATTGGCAATTTACATTTATAGTGTTCAGCCAATTAAGCCTCTCTTATCAACTCAGGGCATTTTTACAGCGGGGAGGCAACGTTCAATTAAAGTTCTATCAGTTAGGCAGCTTCCATATGTGCAGCGGCTCCCAGCCTCAATCTGTTTCCTCTAGTTTTTCTGTGTCTGAGGCCTTTTCCTGAGGCTTATCGGTCTGTCCCCAAAGCAGGCAACAGGCGGGGGCAGTTGCTGCTCGGCTGGCACAAACGACAAAGAGAAAAATCGCGGAGCCAGGCAAAGCAAAACAAGCAAGGAATCATAGCAGAAGCATTTCACAGTCAGGACTGCTGCTTTGGTATTTGTTGAGCTTAACTATTCTATTTGATAGTCACTATAAACCAGTTAGTGGTGGAGTGATTGTTCACCTTATTTACCAAAAATTAGACTGATGTGGAGGAGAACTGAGCTACCTTTTCAAGATCAGACAATTTAAAATGTGCACCAAAATAAGCAAAATTAGTTTGATAAATTATCTATAAAGGCATTTTCTAAGAAGATACATTTATAAAATAATTTAAGCAAAGGAAGCATCATTTAAATAAATTTATAACTGCCCAAATGAACTAAAGTAAAATTGATACTGTTTTGGCGAAAGTTTGCTATTAGTAAATTGTGTTTCTCACAAAAACAATATAGTCAGCCTTTGGGAAGCCTTTGAAATGAAATAGAAAATGAGAGCGACAATTTCTGCTTGAAGGCCTTGGCATATAAGATTTCTGTCGGAAATATGGGGAAAATATAATTTTGTGAGTTGAGGATCAAACTTGACACCACTGGCCTTTAAGCATGACTTCAACTGAAGCCAAAAGGCTTGAGGTTTTGTGATCTTGTGAAGCTGGTAATGATCAGGAGGTAAGTGCATCTCCTGTGACTACAGTCCCCTCACCCAAGGCTTTTAGGCACAAATGAAGTTGTTAGCAAGGACTTTCTATTTGAAAGCAGCAGGAGACACAAGAACTTGATTCCTAATTTCTGAGAGCACTTGATTCAAGATCCAAAGGGCATGAAGCAGAAACACCTTTACAGTCTCTCAGAGCATCATTCAGTGTCATCTGATTCCATTCGAAAGCCTTTGAAAGATTCCAGAATTCTTCCCCCGAAGAAGTACTCCTCCAGCTAGAGAGCTTGCAGTATTAACGCTTGGGAGAGATTATGTAAAGCAAATTTGTGAACAATATTAACATTCTATAAGTGTAAATAAAATTCATAGCAAGTGGCTTCTCTTACTACCTCACTTAATATTTCTACAGAAAGATGTGTACTACACGGGTAATCCCATTTAAATGGTTAGATATATTGTTTAATTATAGTTCTCAAACACTGGTGCAGAAATGTAACTCTGTCTGCTAAATTGGCTGTACATTGTACAATCCTAGTGAGCACCATTCGCACAGACCACACTGTGAACAATGCCCCCCAGAAATGAAGTGTGATGATTATCTATTTACATAAAAATTGTCCTATCATTGCATTTATTTATTTTTTTTTTGTACTGGGGATCGAACTCTGGATCTTGTGCTTTCAAGGATGGTGGCAGGACCACAGAGCTAAATCCCCAGCCCTCACTGCATTTCTTGGTAATGAGATTTATAAAAATACATGTAGGCAAATATTTGGACATTCCTACTTTCATTGAAGGGTTTGCCTAAAGACTACTGATTCATCTTTATTTTTGAGGTTTCATTGCCAGATATTTAGTGACAGTTGACCCTGTATTTTCTAACCTGGAGGTTATTCCCCACTCTCCTTTGTACTGCTTTCTCCAAAGCTCATTGTCTACAGAGGAAAGTCTACATTCCCTCGCAGAATAGAAAATATTTACGGAAGTTGCATTCATTCTAGTTACCCTATTCCTCGACAAACCTGGCAAGTATTTCTGTTTCTAAACTTTCCACAGCCTGAGTGTTATTTGCACGCATCTTCTCCAAATGGTCACCTAGCTGTTTAAGGCACTGGTGTGTTGCGCTAGCAGCTCTTACTGTAAGCTGCTACGGAAGAGCCAGCCTCAGCATCTCCCAGGCCCGCAGCAACATCTGCACATGCAGGACAGGCTGGGGAAGCTCTACCTCGTGGGGCCCAGCCCCATGTATCTTCTCATTCTGGGACTAGCGGCTTCTGTGAGCATGACCTGTTCATAGCAGGAACAAAAGTACAAGAGGGCAAAATTAGCTGAGCAAGTGCATCAAAAGCTTCGGATTGGACGTGAGTTCTACCCAAGTCCACTGGGAAAGCAGGTTGACAACAATGGAGGGCAGAAGCATTCCCCGCCCTGCAAGAGAGCTACCGCAGCAGTATGCGGCAAAGATGTGCTACGGTTCCATTGCAGGGAGGGAGTGGGAAATCATCCAGTGTGGACAAGAAGTTCAGTGTAAACAATAAATCCATGCAAATCTCGCAGTGTAGAGAAATCTCAAATCTATTCTCTCTTGTTTGCAGGAGCTAAAGTTGATTGGACTGGACATCCCACACTTTGCCGCGGATCTGCCACTGAACCGAAGCAAGAACCGCTACACAAACATCCTACCGTGTAAGATGCTCCACAGTGCTGGTTTTAATTGTGTCGCTTCAAGGCCAAAGGATTGTTACTGCAGATTAATCAGTTTTACCCATGTCCATCGAGGCCCAGCAGCAGTCTGATTCTCAAAGCCATTCTGCCTTTCCAATGATCTCAGTAGTGTTTTAATGCCATTCATTCCTATCAGATGGAGGAATATAGAATTATTATGCTTTTACTTGTGTCTGAAGAGAAAAAAATCACCATTTGACCCCTTGGAGGCCAAATCTTTGCCAAATTAGGAATCAGATAATTTGAGCTGTCTTGAAATAATGTGTGTGAATTTTAGTAGCAATGGGAAAAGGCAAAATTTTGTTGTTGCTTGGCAGTTTGTAATAAAGAGCACAACTCAAGGAAGGAATAGGACCAGGGATTTAACTCTGTGATGCTGCCACCTGCCTCGTAAGCACAAGGTCCCGTGTTCAATCCTGAGTACAAAGAAAAAAGGAATATAATCACAGGAAAATTAAAATACATTTCCATTAGATTTACCTTTCCACTCTGCCACACTCCAAGTGGGCTAAGAATGGGAAAATGGAGAGAGGTAGGCTGACAATCTCTGGAAAGGGAACTTTCTAATTGATATGGCTTCTAGATAAAGTTAGGTAATATTACAATAATAATGTTACATACAAAGTTCAGAGTCTACTCTTCCCATTCAAAGGCCATCTTAGAGAGATCTTGTCTCAAAATAAATAATAGAAAAAGCTAGAAGTGTAACTCAGTGCAAGGGCCCTGAATTTAATCCTCAGTGCCAAAAAAATATTAACAATCAAATCATTTAATGAAAGAAATTGACAACAGAATGAACTCAAGGAAAAGAATAAGAAGAAAAATAAAGATAACAGGCTGAAATTAACAGAGAGCAAAATAAAGATACAGTAGAAAAGATAACCCTTGAAGAGACACAGAAAAGTATTGCATGATTTCACTTATATCTATAATGCATAAAAGCAACTAAAAAAAAACGGAAACTAGAATAGTGGTTGAGTGGGTGGGGAGATATAGGTCAAGGGCAGGAAATTATACTTATGCAAAAAGGAACAAGTCTAGATAATACAGACCATGAGGACTATATTTAATAATATCACATGGAATATTGAAAATCTGAGAGCAGATTTTAGGTACTTTTACCAAAAAAAATCACAGATGATTATGTGAGATGATTGATATGTTCGTCTTTCATGTCTATAGTTCATACACACAAACACAAACACACACACACACATGTATCATATTGTACACTTTAAATGTACACATTAGAAAATAGAGAAGGCTCAGGTGTAGTTCAATGGTAGAATACCATTTGGCACATTTAGCATGCCCAGTGCCCTAAGCTCCATCCTCAACACTAGAAATTAAAATAAACTCATATAAATAAATACTTATTGAAAGGCCCATACACCTCTCTAGGTCTTCCAAAGGTAGTTAGTTCTCTGCCTGCCCCTAGGTGAAATGGAAATTAGAGATATTTCGGTTCTAGTAAACATTCTTTGCAACCTCCCCAAAACATGAACATATCTCTTCCGAGAACAGAAGAGCTAGTGTAGAGAAAATAGTAGTTGGGAGACATTGATGATTTGTTGAAAGAAGAAACTAAGATTGATCAGTGCCTAAAATAGCAGACTACAATAAATTATCTACTTGCTCTGTCACTGACTGATTTGACTTGACACTGGGTGGAGAGAGTCAACATCATTTTTTCTTTCATGCTCGTTGTGTTTATATATTCCTTCCTTATTCTTTACAGATGACTTTAGCCGAGTGAGACTACTATCAATGAATGAAGAAGAGGGTGCCGACTACATCAATGCCAACTATATTCCTGTAAGTAGCAAAAACATCAGGCATCCAAACACTGAAGGGCATAGGCCAGCTGGTGGATGACTATTACAGCTATGTGGATGTGCCCAAGATTTGAAAAGAGAGCCCTTCATACCAAACTCGGAGAACAGTTTCCACTATTCTGTTTCCAAATACATAGGGTGCAAAACCTCATAAATCAGTAGTTTTCAAATTTCTTTCCAATTGGATAATGAAAAAGAAGTAGATAATTATGCTAGAGAGCATCTTTCTTGCACGTACATTTCAGTTTCAGCAACTAAACTCAAAGGCCTCCATCCAAACACCTGTGGTTTTAAAATACCCATCAAGATAGTTGTTCTTTTTTTTCTTTTTATTGAGTTTATTGGTACAATCTAGGTATACAATACAGTTACATTCATCATTGGGATTCTGTACCTTTACATAATAGGTCTTGATTCTCAGTTTTTCCCCTTGTCCCTGCCCTCCCTTCACCCCCTCCTCCCCTACCCATTTACAAACACTTTATTTCCATTTTTTCATATTTTTTTCCTCTCCCTTATTACCTTTCCCCCACCCTTCCCATTTTCCCTACACCTTTAGCCCTTTACTTCCTATTTCACATTATTAATTATCTCATTAGGATCCTGTGTACTATTATAGTTTTTCACACCAAAGAAACTATTCAGTATTTCAGTTAAGGAAATCTCTGTATGAACATTAAAAATAGGAATCCTAAAATAAAACTAAAAAGAAAAGTAAAAGAGAAAAGGCAATGATGTAACATTAAAATAATCCTTAATTCTGGAGATGAAAATGGTCCCTGAACATATTTAAATTGCTTGTTGCTCTTATAGTCTTATTTTATTCTTTTTTTCATTATTTAGAGAATACTTTATTAGTTTCTGTAATCAAACCCACGTAGATATGACCTTACATATTTAGTACGATGTGTTACCCTGTATACATGGAACAAAAAATAAAAATAAAAATATTAACATTTCTAGACCAATATGGTTGTCCATTTCTATACAATGCCAACTCAACACAGTAAATTGGGATGACTTTTTGCAAAATTGGCAGCACCATTAAAGTTTCCCAAAATTCAATTTATATATATACATATATATATGTATATATATATTTATATTTATATAAATATATGTATATATTTATATTTATATAAATATATGTGTATATATATTTATATTTATATAAATATATGTGTATATATATTTATATTTGTATTTATATAAATATATGTGTATATACATTTATATTTATATAAATATATGTGTATGTAAATTTATATTTATATAAAAAGACTAATAATAGCAGCATGTAATGCATTGATAGAAGCAACAGCTTTTCCAAGTTCTGCAGTCATCTGAACAAAACTATAGACATTCAGAACATTCCATTAAAAAAAACAAAAGAAACAAAGAAAAGAATAACATCCGGAAAACAGCAAAGTTCTGTTGCTGTTGTGGTACCTGGCACCATTTTTTTTTATTAGGACTGTGCTTTATCAGAGCTACATTTAATGATATTACTCTAGAATGTTCTCTTTCCAGATGATGATTAAGATGCTAATAAAAAAACTAATATTGTAGTTGTTCTTGTTATTGTCATAAAAAGATATGGATATGATTTCATAGGCTCACAGAAAACAGTGCTTAAAATCACACAGACCTGGCCGGGCGTGGTGGCGCACCCCGGTAATCTCAGCACTCAGGAGGCTGAGGCAGGAGGATCACTGTGAGTTTGAGACCAGACTGGGCTACATAGTCAGTTCCAGGTCAGTCTCAACTATACAGTGAGACCCTGTCTCAAAAAACAAAACAAACAAAAAAAATCACACAGACCTATACAGTCAATTGCTCTGATGGCCTTTCTGATCCAAAAGAGGAAAACATTTGTGTGATCCTTTGCCGGTTTTATTGTCAGTCCATTGTCAGTTTTCCCCACTGGGGTGGAGTAACATTTGATATTGACTGTAGCTGATTAAATAACTTTATTACTTATCTTTCAGGGATACAACTCACCCCAAGAGTATATCGCCACCCAGGGGCCACTGCCTGAAACCAGGAATGACTTTTGGAAGATGGTCCTACAGCAGAAGTCTCAGATCATTGTCATGCTCACTCAGTGTAATGAGAAAAGGAGGGTGCGTACCTAATCAGACTGTCCCCACTTCGCAGCAACATCTGCCAACCACTGCCCCTGACCAAGTGTTTACTGTGCAGCAGAAACTGCCACACTGTTTGATTTTTCATTCTCATGATAGTCCTATATGGTTCTTCAGAAGCAATTGCCTTTGCTTTCCCTAAATGAATTTAAATTCCTCCCTTGCTGGTTCGTTTTAAAGGCTTGCGTTATTTTCACTTCAGGTAAAATGTGACCACTACTGGCCATTCACGGAAGAACCCATAGCTTATGGAGACATCACTGTGGAGATGATCTCAGAGGAAGAACAGGATGACTGGGCCCGTAGACACTTCCGGATCAATTATGTAAGTCTCCCCGTGGGAATGCTGGCTTACCCACACCCACCCTCAATTCCCAGAGACCAACACCCTGCCATGTGTGACAAAGAGCACTTTAAACATTGCGGCTCTGCCTCCTTCGAGAGAAAAATTCCACTTTTAGTGGGTTGTTTCCCATTTAGTGGAGGATGGTATCGATGAGGTGGTTGGCCTGGAGGGCCAAGCAGATGGAACAAAGTCTGCACTAGTCCATCTCCAATGAGCCTAGAGAAATAGAAGACCTAGCTGATCATCACTTACAGAGGATGTCTGCGGAGAGAAGTGCTCTCATTATTTATATTAACCATAGATACATTCGTGTATGCAAGGCACACTAAAATTATAAACACTTAAACCATGATTTGCTGTCTGGGTTTGCGGTTTTCTTTCCTTATTTTGTTTTGTTTTGGTTTTAATTAGACCTTATTAGTCACGGTTCCATGTTGAGCTTGAAGTGCTAATGACTTCTAATTGTTGCTATGTTAGAAAAGTCTGTTTTTCTCGCAAGGCCTCCTATCTCTCTGATGACAAGTCTTGGAGACTGCTGAATATTTCTGTGTCAGGCTTAGGTGATAACTTCAGTCAAGCTACCGTCTACCTATAAACAGTTCATGGATACACAGCTTTTACTAGCATTGTCTACTACAACATGCTGTTTGTTGAAGGCAGAATTTAATAGGAGACTTCTCGTTGATGTTAATATGGTCTTCCCTGAATAGAAACAACCTTACAAATGGCATAGACTATGGGACAGCAAACTAGTCTGCAGACCAAATTGACCTACAGATGGTTTCTGCACCTTTTACTGACTGAAAAAAATTTAATGAACATTTCATGTATAAATCATGTTAAATTGGAATTTCAGTGTCCATAAAGAATACTTTACTGGGACACAGGTCTCATTTATGCATTGGCTATGGCTGTTGAACTACATCAAGCTTGAGTAGTTGCAACTCCAACTGCTCAAGTGTCTTAGTGGCTTTTCTTGTGGCTGAGACAAAATACCTGACACCCAAAGTTAAAGGAAGAAAGGCTTATTGTAGCTAACAGTTTGTACAAGTTTCAGTTCGGAGTTGGCTGGCTTCAAGGCAGGGTAGAATGGCAGAGGGGCATCGCAGGCAGAGGAGAAACAATTCGTGGTGGGCAAAAGGCAGCAAAGCAGAAAAATATTGAAGACTTAGCAGCAGCAACAACCTGCCTCTCCCTTTTATCCCTTCCAGGCTAATGTGTTTGGGTGATGCCACTCACACCCAGGGTAGGCCTTCCCGTTACTCGTACCCAGACCTCTGCCAAACTCATCAGTGGACTACTTTAGTAATCACACACCCCTAATCCCAGCATCACACACACTAGGTCCAGGCACCTTAGAAAAGACCCTTCTATGACTGCATGAGGCTTTGAAGGGACATCTAGATACAAGCCATAAAAATGAGCTACAAAACTAACAATTCTTACTATTTGGCCTTCTCCAGAAAGAGTTTGTTGACCCTTAGTATAAATAATGGAAACATTTTCCATATCAGTAATAATCCGAGCATCAGTAACTATGCCTTTATTGGTGATTATAAAAGCTGATCACTTATTGACCAATAGCAGTTAGCGACTGTGTTTCATGGTGTTCCATTTCTTTGCGTTGCCCTTTTCTCCCTTGTTCCCCAAGCACATGTCTACTCAAGCACAGTTTCCACTCCAATGTCCTGTCTTTATGGATCCCACCCTGGTCTCAGAGACCATTAGCTCTTTCCTCCCTCTGTACTTTCATACATACTAATCCATCACTGGACACTGGTTATAATTCTCTGTTCGGGTCTGTCTCCCCCAGGACACTATGAGTTTTATAATAAATCAGTGAATGAATTATTTCAAGAATTGCAAGGCACCATGTAAGTCAACAGACTTCCCAGCAGAGGAAATAGTTCACAATCCTGGTGCTGTTAGAAATGAGCTTTCTTTTTTTGGCTCTTCCAGAAACAAAGCTAGTGCAAACTGCTAAAGAAAGTAGAATAGATCTTCCTTAGGTTTGCATCGGGGGCAAAAACATTAGAGTACAAAACAGAACTATTCCCATGCTTGTTTCCTTGACAGGAAAGAGGCACATAGATCACGGCATGGCCAATAATGTGTTTCTTGTCTTTGGTCATAAATGATGACCTGTTTTTTAGTGACAGCCATGTGAAGGGCGTGAGCAGCAGGAATAAAACACTGGATAAGAATGTTTGCTTATAAGACATTTGTACAGTGGTTACAAACATCTGGTGCCAGAGCGCCCCCATTTGGCTGTAAGCATGAATGACCTAAAGTCTGAGCTCCTAAAATGAGCTACAATGACCACTGCGCTGTGCTAATAAATATATTTTTGTATTTGTTTCAATTTTGTGTAGATCCTTCTTTATTCATTCCATATTACTATGTGTAAAATTTTCAAATATGACAAGATAAAATTCTGTAAATAAGGAAATCAGAGTAAGAGAAATGTGGGATTAGCTAAGTAAGAAAAATCTAAAAGGGTTTCCCATTTAGCAAGAAAACATGTTTCTTTACAGGGACTTTGCATTTTGCTAATCAACTGGATGGCTGACAGCAATTCTAGGACTCTTGCCTTGTGGCTGTGAAGAGGCAAAACAATTTAGTGAGCCCTGATCTTGTGCACCTGACTAGTTTTAGCTGAATACATTTTCAGGTCAACTCTACCAAAATATGTGTTGTCCAATTCTTACATATGATTAGAATTTGGCATGTTTAGGGCCAAAGATTTAGCTCAGTGGCACTGCACCTGCCTCGCAAGCTCAAGGTTCTGAGTTCGATCCTTGGTACCAGGAAAAAAAAAAAGGCATTTTTGTGAACCTTTCTGGGAAAACCAAATTATCTAGTGACTGAGTCTCCTCAAATCCTGACAATACTGAATATTTGTTATTCCACACAATCCACTACACATACGTTACTTCTTGACATTCTCAAAGGCAGCAGTGAGTGCAGCCAGCATCTCTGTAGCCTTCATGCTCTGTGTGTCTAAGCAGCGTCCCTTAAACGGAGGTAGACAGGCGTTGCATTCTGCCTGTGGGGATGTGTGGGGACAACTGGTGCATCTGAAGCCATGATATTTTTATTTATGCCAATCATACATATTTATATATTTTGCTCATACACTTTATTCATACATTTACTAACTTAAATTTAAATTTTGCTGTGCTCAAGACCATTCCATTTGCATTTAACAATTAATTTCTCTTTGATACCCGATTGTATACTTTAGCTCTAAAGTCCCTGCCAAACTCATCGCCCAAGCCAAATTCTCCCAAGTTAGGATATAGAATTCCTTCCTCTCGGAGTATTATAGTCCCTCAGCAAGTTTGAGGGGTGAGGGGTGCACCAGACATTCGTAAGCCTGGGTTCAGAATTTTTCTGACAGTTGGCAAGAGAAGAATCAATTATTCTTCCAAATTAATGGAGATAAAGAGGAGTTGATCTAGAAGCACTTACATCCTAGTTGATATTTACTCAGATCGGGGGGAATAACCATGTATCTGATAGACCTATTTCCTGAAGATTCTCAGAATCAAGTACTTGAGTGACTGAGCAAGTGGTGATAATTGTGCAAGAATAGCAGTAGTAGCTAACAAGCACTTTCCTTCACAGACATGACCACCCTCATTGTGCACCATGATGCTGGTTACCAGTATCATTAGCCTCTCTCTAGTTAGGAGAAAACTGGAGCTCAGCAAGTCTGTCTCGGATCGGGTACCCTACTATCAAAACCAAGACAGGGAATCTCCATAAGCGATTGTTTTAACGTATATTCTTGGATAAACTTGGAAGGGGTCGAGTGAAGCACAACCAGAGGAAAAAAGCCACGGAGAGCTGGGGTTCACCGGTGTCTAAGCTGGAACACGAAGGGCGCCGTACTGAGGCGCTGTTTTGACACAGGGGCTACATCCCGCGCCGTGGTAGAGGTCAGGCGTTATCTGCCGGCTGCTTCCAGCAGAAAGATCAACCTCTTGGCATTTTCCAGCAAGGCAGCTCCCTATGGCTGAAGACAACACTCGGGAAAAGGGTACAGCTGTGTCATTAGCAGCAGCTGGAACAGGGGCGCGCCAGGCTAGCGAAAGGCTCCGAATAGGGCACCACTGTACCTTCCACAATGCTTATTTCATTGCCAAAGGCTTCTAAATGGCAGTCAGTATGCAAATCCTGATATGCTTAAACTCTCATCCCTAACTATATGGGCACAGCTTAGCATGCTGTCCTGCTGCTTCTTAAAGCTTTATCCAATTAGTGTTATTTTTTCAAGATCAATTTTTATGCCAACCAGAATTTTATTCCAGCTCTTTCCAGAGGTAGAAAGAGAAGTGTACCGACCAGGGTAGAATGTGGTACTTCCTTGTTCCATCCATTTGTGGGCTTTAGCGGAGGCCTGGGCGATGCTGACAGAGGACTGAGAGATTAATGCTTGTTTTTGGCTTTTTTCCTCAAAGGCAGATGAGATGCAGGATGTGATGCATTTTAATTACACAGCCTGGCCTGATCACGGAGTGCCCACAGCCAACGCTGCTGAGAGCATCCTACACTTCGTACACATGGTCCGACAGCAGGCAGCCAAGAGCAAAGGCCCCATGATCATTCACTGCAGGTAATCTCGTCTGGGCATTTCCTGTCACTCGGCAGGTACCCTCACCTGGGGTATTTCCTGTCACACATCAAGGCATTTTCTGTTTGCTTTTAAATAAAATAAATAGCCCATTATGCCATAAAACTCTAATAAAATTTAATCATAAGTGAATTAGGATTTTTTAAAAATCTCTGATTAACATCTTTCTTGTATACATGATTTACTTACAATATGAATGCTATATCTATAGCTTATGAGATAGATTATTATTTCAATTTGCAGAAGAAAAAAGATGAGGAGTAGCAAGATTGAGGAATTCACACAATTGGAACATAGAGGAATTAAGATTCAAAGCCAGGCATATGGGTCTCCAAAGGCCGTGCCTTAACTACTGTGTGTTATTATCTTGTCCATCAAGGATTCTGAAGGGTTATAACCTGCATAAATACAAGTAAAATTATAAATAATTTACCAGAGCTTAAAATTATATAACTAGACATAAAAGCAAGATGAAAGAAAAATAAAAATATTCAGCGTATTAAGAGAAACGTTTGCTGTGGTTGTGCTTCAGTATTGCTTCTAAGTTTTGAGACAGCTAAAAGCAAGTCCACAGTAATTCCACGAGGGAAAAGTTACCTTTGATGTAATCTTTCCTTCTCACTGAGTGAACACTGCTCCATCACAAGCTATCCCGGTGACACAGTGTTGCCCTAAAATTTTTATGCAACTGAAAAGATCAGGAGCCATAAATGCTGTCTGGCTGCATATCAGAAGGTCTGAGTGGGAGAAAGATGTTAAGGGAAGCAATGGCAGCCAAACCCACCTGGATAAATGTATAAAATTTATAACCCAAGATCTAAGATGTTGGCCTTTGTAAATTAGAATGGCTAGGTTGTGAGTGTGTGTGTGTGTGTGTGTGTGTGTGTGTGTGTGTGTGCTTGTGTAAGGAAGAAGGGACCTGCGCAAGCTAGGTTTCTGCTTAGAGAGGATATCGTTGCTGTCAACCCCCCTTATTCTTTCACAGTTTGAAAGCTATGCTTTAGCAATGGAGATTATCTCTTCTCAAAGCGAATCTTCCCAAGAGCAGAAAATAAAGCTGCTCAGCCGCAGGTCAAATGCGCACGGCCCTTTCACAGCACTTAGCAGTACAGCTCGGCGTGAGATTTTACAGGTGCTCACACAGTGGCAGATCATTTTACCTGAGAAGTCCTGGAAGGGGAGAGTTGTCTAGTAGAAAAAAGCAAACTAGACTCTGAGCGCAAGGATAGTAAAGTCGGCTTCTTCTAGCACATTCCACATGTAAGGTACGATTGAGATATATGGTGAATGTTTAAATTTCCTTTTTAAAAATCTTAATAGCCCTTCTTACTTTGAAAATACTTATCCCGTCATTGTTACTTTCTAAAGAATTTCTGGGAGGCTTCTTTTGTGACTGTCTTTACAAGGGGTGATCAAAACTACAGTGAATGCTGCCGCTGAGTGCCATCCAGCGGAGAGTCAGGCTCATGCAGACTTACAGTTTCTTCACCCACCTTGTCACTGGATCTGGCACTGTGTGAACACTGGCACTTGCCAAAGTCAAAATGACCTTGAAAGGTGAATGTTTTCAGTGGATTCAGAACTTTGAGGTAGCTACAACAGGACAATTACGGACTCTCACTAAAGAAGAATTCAGGAACTGAATTCAGAAAGTGATGAGAATTAAGGAATATGTGCCACACATTTTTTAATTTAAATATCCACTGTATATTCCAATCATGTGTCCTATCAATTAGCTTCAGATTTCTCTTTTCCCAGCATTTCCCAACATTATAATCCAGTTTGGGATCCTTTGGCTCTTCATTCCTATGGGTGATCAGAAGAAAAGGAGAGACAGCTTTAACATAGTGTCAGGCCTGGAGTGGGCAGCTGGCTGGCCCATGTGAGTCCACTTCAACCTTTAGAGACCAGATGAGCCTGGACCCAAGTATTTAATTTTATTATAAAGCAACTAAATACCTAGAAGATCTCTGGGAAACTGTAGCAGGCCCAAAACTCACTGGGGGGGGGATTTGTGCTGTGATTGTGAACTGAATTTAGGTGTGAAAGAGGCAGATACCTATGATCCCAGAGCTAGAGTGAGGGTGTGGACCTCTAAACTATACTTCTGGGTGGGTGCGGGGAATAAACTTGGAGTTTGTTCATAAGATGGGGCACTGTTGGGTGCACCAGCTCTTTGAGGGCAGGGAACAACTGCCCAGGGCATTCAGCATGGAGCCACTGCTTTTCTTCAGGGACAGAGAGGCCAGGAAGTGTGCAGCCAAGATGTTGCAGACCCCTCTCTCCTTAGGGGAGGGAGCAGGGATGGTCAGAAAAGTGACATCAGAAGGGCTCCAGCCACAACTATACTCTAAAACTCAGTTTGGTGGAGAACATCATCGGAAGTTTGGTTCCCTTCATAATAGTGCTACCTGCAGATTGTCGTTGTTGTTGTAAGAAATCCTCAGTTTACTTTCACCCATGTAACATGCAGTCTGAACTTTCTCCTGCAGCGCTGGTGTTGGGCGAACAGGGACCTTCATAGCCCTAGACCGGCTCTTACAGCACATTCGGGATCATGAGTTTGTGGACATCTTAGGGCTGGTATCAGAAATGAGGGCATACCGGATGTCTATGGTACAGACGGAGGTAAGCGTGTCAGAAATATGTACTTTCAAAGGCCCCTGACTGAAAAATGTACCATGATTCCACCTCCTGTTTCAAAACAACTGTCACAATGCATTTTCCATCTGCCTTTCTATCTTATTATGTGTTTAAACTGCTACAAAGTAAAAAAGAAATAGCTATGAGCCTCTAGAAAGTGCACAGTGACGACACTTTCGCTGGCGTCGCCTGCCCTTTATTAACCCAGAGCACATGGATGTGTGTGCAATGGGACGTACCCAAGAGTCCGTGGAAAGTAACAATGACCGAGCCAGCGCCACCAAGTGGACACTGTGTGGACTGCAGTGATTTAATCGATGCTAGGACTGCTCAGATAGCTCCTCCTCAGTTCTTTCTCTGTGTGGCTTCTGTTCCGGTTCATCGTTGACGATGACCCCACAGGTTTGATATGTTCGTTTGGCCTCATTTTAAAGATTTCCATCCCCATTACCTCCCAATCTACCAGCATCGCCCATCGAGCCCTTCATGGAAAGGAAAGGACCCGGGGAAGTGCTCTGTGCCCCGCTGCCTCCTCTTTTCCTGCCCTCCCTGGAGGCCTTGCACTGTGCCTTGTCTGGCTGCACCGTCCTGGACCCCTGCGACAGGCGCGTGCTCAGAATCCCAGGCACCCAGCCGTGCGCTCCATTTACTGACTTCCTTCCAGGTAGCAGTAATTCTTGCCCTGGAGGAGCGTGTGTGGGAGAAGCGTTGTAGGACAGAATGCACCCTGGCCTGACCTCTTACTACTGGATTTTAAAAATACTTTGAAAATAGGATTAGAAGTTCCACCTGACCCAGCTATTGCCCTGCCGGGTATCTTCTCAAAAGAATTAAAAGCATCATATGACAGGGATATATGCGCACCCATGTTTATAGAGGCACAGTTTGTAATAGCTAAATCTTGAAAACAATCCAAATGCCCATCGACTATATATATGAATACTATGAGAAAAGAACCAAAAATCCCCAAACACAAAGCCTTTGTAAATAGGGAGGGGTGGATGGAGTGGAAGGGAGGGCAGGGGAATGGGGAAAAATGAGAACCAAGATACATCACGTATCGGCACAAATTCCCAGTGATGACTGTGATCATAATGTGTACCTAAAAAGTACCAATAAAGTTAACTTAAAAGAAAGGAAAATAAAGGAGGAAAGAAAAGGAAGGAAGGAAGAAATAAGAGAGAGATGGAGGGAGGGAGGGAGGGAAAAGAGAAAACAAAACCTTGGTCTTTCTCTTGCTCTTCCGACCCAGCACCACTAGAGGTCAGCATAACTCAAAAAGCCTGGCTCATTGGCTGCTCTCTCTGGCTCAATCTGCTTCTTGTTGCCTTCTGATTTAAAATTGTGGATACAACCTTCACCTTCTCGTCACGAGTTTACAGTGTCTGGTCTCCCGGAGAAGCCTTGTACCTAGTAATTAAGTCGTGTTTTCTTAATCAGTCGGTGTTTTTTACTTTCACTTCCATAAATTTATATCCTAACATGTGATTAAACCTGCCCATTATGTATATTAATCTCCAAGCTTCAAAGGGCCAAACGCCTTTTATGTGTCTCGGATCTGACAAATTGTCTGCCCCTTCGCTTCAGTAATACCTCTTCTAACTTTGATTACGGCCTGTTCTCTTTTTTACTTTTCCTAACTTCAGAACCCTACCTTCTCCCAGCCACTCTGCTTCACATTTTCAACTCTTAATGTTTGTCTTCAATTCTACAGAGCCGAGAAAATGTTTCGCTTTGTTTTGTTTCCTTTTCTTGCCCCAAATTGCAGCTGTCTGACTTCCTTGTTTACAACAATATTTCAGGTTGACATCTCCATGGAAACAGACTTTTTAAAGTATGATCTCCCTTCCCTGAAAGTCAGCAAACGGGCAGAGGCCTCAGACTACTGTTTCTTCTCAACTGCTCAGGATTTTGCCACGATGTTTTTCAGTTCTGGTTATTTATTTGTGTGTATTTTGTTGGAACACGTCCATTTACCTTTATTTTTCATCATTCATCTGCTTGCCACGTTTCAACCTTTATTTTGAATCCAGCTTGATTTACCTAACACTGCCCTTTGGCCCATTCACGTTCAAATCCTGTTGTCTTCTAATTTACTAAGTTAATCAGAAGTAATAAGTAATAAGTCATACAAGGACAGACTCGCGCTGCAGTTGTCTTTTGCGCAGAATCCACCCTGGGACTTAGTCCCATATTTCTTCCCATCTCTGGTTCTAATTTTCTCACCTTTCCCATGATCCTACCTTAGTCTATAAATGGCAGAAGGAACTGATCAGATTGGCTGGGTCTCAGTGCCTGTGCCTTACCTGATCACCACAGGCTGAGTGGCTGAGTGCTGCGTTCACCTACTCTCCTCCACTTTCTCCAGAGGCTGCTTACCGAGTACCACACTGGGAGAAGGCCTGGGTCTCGGCCTTCCCCCTCTGTCACGTCTCCTCTCAAGTTCCTGTTTCTCCTCTCTAAAATGTGCACCCCAGTTCTCATGAATTGTGGTAAAGTACTCACAATCCAAATACCAGCATCTAGAGAAGTTCTTCGGAACTGTAAAAGTACCACCTCTGGGTGGCTGTCACCTCTCTTGGGCTCCCTTCTACTTTTGCCAAATATTTTTGTTTGGTCTTCCTCCAATAGCCTCTCCCAGGAGGTCGGTTAGGGCTCTGCCTTCGGCAAAATGTCCTCCCCACAGGCAGCTTGGATCTCTCAGGGACTCTCAGGAATGTGTCCAAAAATGGTCTCTCATTTACTTTTCCTCTGGCCTTTGAAAAATTTTTTGACACAAGCTTCTTCCACTGGGTGGTTATAAAGTGAGGGTACAGGCAGTGTTGGTCTTCTTTATTCCCAGTGTTGCAAAAACACCAGAAACGTGAGGACCACGAGGGTCACTCAGGTACTGGTGCCATGCTGTCCCAACTCGCAGAAGATGTTTCCTGCCAAGCTCACTAAAAATACAGAGTAGGTGAGGGGCCAATCTAGTAAGGGTTGAAGTGCTTGTTTTATCCTTTGTATAAAGCTGTTGTATAAAAGCTATCTTAAAATCCTTGGGCCTCTGGACAGGATCTTATTTGGAGATTATATCTAATGGTATTACTTATAGAGAAACTAGGAAATAAAGAAAAAGGAGAGAGGATATACAATTACCTTTACTTCCTGAAAAAGTAACCTTAATATTTTATTAACTTCATTCAAGTATAACTTTCATAGAGTTGTGCTCATAAGTATGTGGCATCTGCACACAATGTTGTGAAAGCCATGGAAATATATACATATGTGTATGTATTTATATGGTCTAACTTTTCACCTAGTACTCAACTATGTATATATAGCAAATAGCCTAAAGCTTATAAATCCGATTTTAAAGACTTTCATTATAGATACACCATTGTTTATTTAAACCACTCTCCTTTTTTATAAAATATTTCATTGCAATTTTTCACTTTTCAATATTCCCTTGTCCACACTGTTTTTAGCGCTCTATTAATTTCACACCCACTAATAATAGGAAGTGAAGACTCACCAAACTTTAGTCATTGTTGAATGTTATCTTTCCCTGTTGCTTTGCTTAATTTATAGATGAAAAATAAGTGTTCATTTTTAACCTCTATTTCAATGTTTCCTCAGTTTACTGCAAATTCATTTAATAAGTGCAACCTAAGTGCTAGGCATTAATAATAAAAGAATAGGTCCTTTTCTTTAGGAATATTTGGTCTAGTGGTTGAAAGATTATACTTATTTTATTTGCCTGTATTACTGATTTGTGTGGCTTCTAAATAAAAGTCTTGATATTTTCCTGTAATTTTGAAAAATATTTTCCCTACTAGCTCCTGGCTTACCCTTTATTTCATTGGTTATGATTTTTTTTTTACACACAGTACTTTGAATTTTTCAATTTGTAATCTATATTCCTTTGCTTTTAGTTTCAGAAATTCCTTCCTTCAACTAATTAGAGAGGAATTAACATATTTTCCTCTCTATGTTATTTATTTAATTTATTCAACTTCCTAAAATTTATTTTACTTTGTCAAAACACTTCTGTGACTTATTAATTAAATATTTGTTGTCTTTAGCATTATGTAGTGATGATCTAGTATATTTCACTGTAACTTTACCTAATCATGCTGTGCTGTGTGCTTGAGCAGATCTTGCTGAGAGTAGATCTTAAGTGTTCCCAAAATAACAGCTACAAAAAGTAATTGGATTAGATGATGCATGCGTTAATTAGTTTGTGATAATCATTTCGCAATGTATATCTCATCACTGCATTATACACCTTAAAAGCATCACTTTGTGATTAATGTACTTCAGTGAATTTGAGGAAAGACATTCCTTGGAAAACAACAAAAAATGTAGTGGTGTCCTAAGTTTTGTTATTAATAACAATCCCTTCACAGTTTGATTACGTTGTATTTTCCAGTCACGGAATTATCTCCACAGCACTGAAAAGGGTCTCCTTTTACACCAGCTCCCCATCATTAAAATTGTCACAGTATTCAAACACTCCGTCTCCGTACACACTGAGACGCGTGCATGCCCTTTGTCGCTGCAGGAGCAGTACATTTTCATCCACCAGTGTGTGCAGCTGATGTGGGTGAAGAAGAAGCAGCAGTTCCGCATCAGCGATGTGATCTACGAGAATGTCAGCAAGTCCTAGTTTTGGACCCAGAGCGGTAAGCAGAGAACAACCCGTGCTTGGCGCTGTCTGAGAACAGCGGGCAGGGGCGTGATGGGATGGCGCAAAGGCTGACGGAGCCATTTGCTTGGGTTCTGGCCCTGCACACACCTTTCTGTGCAACTCTCGGCCACTCGGGGGTGACCGTGGGGGAGAACAACCCCATAATAGATCTTTGAGCTTCACTGAGCCTGCAGTAAGGAGGAGTGCGTTAGTTCTCCATTTCTGTAACATAGTAGTTACGAGGAGGTAAGAATAAGAGGTAATACTTAAGAGGAGGTGAGATTGCTTTTGGCTCAGGATTTCGGTCCCAGGTGCGCCCAGTCACTTTTAGGTCTGTGAGGAGCAGAATACCAAGGAGGCAGGAGCTTGTGGCAGAGGAGGCCTCTCAGATCATGGAGATCAGAAAGCAGAGAAAGAGAGAAAGGAAGGGGCTAGCATCCCAATGTACCATCCCAAGAGCATGTGCCTGATGACTGTTTCCTGCAGCTAGCCCATTTCCTGAAGTAATGTCACCGCCTGGGGGCCAGATCTTCAACACAAGGGATTCCAAGGCCACTCCAGGACACTAAGCCTACAAGTAGCTTCCACGACTCATAATGATTTTACTTCCATTCCCTCTACCCAGAACCTTAAATCATTCTGACATTGGACCTGTGCCTGTAGGGAAACCACTGTCCAATTCGATGTAGCTAGATATTTTGTGCAAACATTTGATTGACTAAAGGGAGAACAAAGGATTACAGAGGAGACATCATCTGGAGTGGACACTCAAAAAAAAAAAAAAAAAGAACAATGAGTTCTCAGAATGATGGGGTCTAAAAATGCCTTGATCGCACTCATTTTGGGAGCACGTGGTTGAAAAAGAAAATATCCAAAACCCCGTGTTCATATTTTGACTAAGAGATCGTATTTTGGAGTAAATAAGCTTGGTTGAGGTAGCAAGCAAACTGGGCATCTAGCGCCATGACAGAACGGGGAGGAGGCAGTGGTGCATTATGGGAAGAGTAACAGAACAAGAGGCATGTGAGGCAATAGCAGCTGGACAAGACTGGCATTGTACATCCCCATCCAACCACTGTACCTTTACATCTTTAAGAGAGAGGCAGAGCAGCAAGAGTGAGCAGAAAAGGTAATGGATAAGGAGGCACGGATAGGGAAAAATGTGTAGGTAGAAAGGCATTCAGTCCCACATCCACATGAGTTGTAAGGAGAGCAGGTGTTAGAGCAGAAGGAAGGTGGTGGAGACCCCAGGCTGCTGACCACTGACTGCCTCTCCCTCTCTCTCTCTCTCTCCCTCTCTCTCAGGAAAGAACATGCTCTGCACTCATCCTCCCTTGCTTTGAGAATTTGGGGGGTGGGGGGCCCAACTAGTCATTTGGCTAAAATGAGCCCTTGCTTTGTAGTATGTGGCCAAGGAGATAATTTATCTCACAGAAGCATTGGGAAGATTTAGCCTTAAAGAGCCTACAGTGTCTTTTGGACTCTTTCACTTCTGGACATTTAATGGAGCAAATTCAACAGGACATCAGAAATGCCGGCACTCTGCAGAGGGCGGGGACTATGAGACTTCTGAAGAGTTTGGCTGGCCCTCTCCTGGTTGAGCTGAGTTTTTTGTTTTGCTTTGTTTTGTTTTAAGTGCAATAATTTTTGTACACGTGTGATTTTATCAGAAAGTTGAACTGTTTTCTACCCGCGCCAATGATCAACCCCATAGCCCAGGAGGGGATAGGCACGGTTAGGGTCAAATTCATTATAGCTCATTATTTAAAAGAGGCACAGCCACACATAAGGAGATGATCACTGTACTTCAAAGAAAGTGAAGCAACAACGTATGTATGTATTCCAACCTTGAATGGGGAGGAGAGAGGGGCTTTACCCACAGATCAACTGCATACTTTTTCCTACTACAAATATGAAAAGCTGTACTTCAAAAGTAGAGTAGAAAAACAAATATTTGTCTAACTTATTCTAGTTCTTAATGGTTTTCTTCCTTATTAACTGTTGAGTGTTTCTTCTGTGGCCCTATTGGACTAAAGTCACTGTCTGGGTTCTTTTCAAGAAACCAGATCTGGTTCAGAAGAGTTTCAAGTCTGACCCTAAACTCTGTTGCTGTCTGAGCAGTCTTGGTGCCTAGAGTTCACATTTCCTTTTCTGTTGACCCACATCTTTGTGAGTGCTATTTCTCTGAGAAACTATACGCTGTGAGAAAGCACTTTCGTTCCCCTGAAGATTGGGAATCACGAAGTTACAGCAGTGAACTTCAGCATGCTGGGACGATGCTTGGACTTCCTTCTTTCATAATGTCAAGCGTCTCTGTGGATTCCCGCAGAGATCTCTTATGGGTTTGTTTTCTTTTGGGTTGTCAGTTTCATTTTTAACCTGTGTAAGTAGTACCATTTGATTTTTGAATTTTGTATAATTACGGTACTTGATTGTGCTTTGTGACATGAATACTGTCAAAATGGATATCGATGGCATTGTGGAACCTGTGACTTTGTGCCTCTTCCTGGGAAATGAGAGGTGAGGGTACAGATAAACAAAGGAAAGCATTCGGACTAAAGTAAGCACAAGCTTGCTGCCTCGCAGTGGCAAAGTGGCTATCACACGCTTTCCTGGGTCCACTGCCAGGAGGCCCGGTGCCTCTCTGTGTGTCTGCTCACGGCCCCTTCCAGACTCCCCTCCGTCCCTGATCATCTTCACGAAGCCGCAGATACAAGATCAGTTTCCAGTTTCATCAGAGACCTTAGTGACGGTGAAGGATGCCAGATGAACAGCTCTGCACCCCACCGACTCATGTCACTGAGAAGGCCTGGCCACAGAGCCCTGGCAGAGGTCTCACCCGAGCTGGCCAGCAGGGCTCAGTTTCACCTTGCGGGGTGAGTGGCAGAGGAAGTCCGTACCCTGCAGGTGAACAGCTTGGACTCCTGGGGCATTGTCCGTCTCTCCTCACCCCCTGTGTTCTACATCTTGTCTCCCTGATGCCACCTCCTCCTCTTCTCACTTTACTCTTGTATTTCCTCTCTTGGTCATTTTCATAGCACATCATGCCGTTCTCAGGAACAAACACAGTTAAAGGGAAGCGGCAAAGGTCACGTGTGTCGGTCTTAGATTCTCACACATGGATCTGCTGGGGGGAGGTGGGGCGTGGTGGGTGGGAAAGCTCATGCGCGTTTCCAGCACTGCCACAAGGAAGCTTTGAGAAGTTTTCTTGCCTGGAACGTGACTTCCCATGAAACAAAGCACTTCATAAATATTTCATGTTTTCCTTGAGCACCCCTTCACAGTAGGGATCAAATAACGCCAGATCGAGTTTCCCAAAAGAAAAGACGAAGTACCCGGGTTTAGACTGCAGAGTCAGAGGTTATATCACAGAAAGGTCGCAGAGAAGTGCTTTACCACATCATTCCTCTGTGTGTTTGCAGCCCTCACTCTGTTCACAGAAGCTCCTCAGCCTGCAGAGGTAGGAAAGGCATCCATCTAGCACAAGACTTGGGCTTTAATCCTGATAAGGACTTTGGAACTTATCTCCACTGAGGCTCAGTTAACAAGCTGCAGAATGATCTGACCATAGCTCCGTGTTTCATAGATACGAGTGCTGGATGTGCATTAGCATGTGCAGTTCAAACAGCCTGTGGAACACACAGAGCTAAAGACTTTAGAATTGCAAAATATTTGCCGTTAAGTGCTAGTAAGATCAAATTCCTTGCCTGCAAAAGACAATTTATGAAGTTCGTTGAGAAACTGCCATTAGGGTCTAATTTATAAACTTAATAATTAACACCAGTATATCTGTCACTACACATTGTGAAATTTTTTTTTCATTAGAAAAGAAAAAAAAAGTGACAGCAGCATTTTTTAAGTAGCCTTTTGTTTCCAATATAAGATCTAAATTTTCCCGCTGCAAAGACAAAGTGGCCCCTAAAATTTGAATTAGGTAAGTTTTTTACATTTTTAATGTCAGATTTTGTAGTGCCTCTCCTCTCCTAAAAGTTGTTCCCTGTCCCCCAAAAGTTGCCATATCTCCCAAGGGGATTGTGGCATCAACATGAAAAGCAGGAGCTTGAGGCTTTGGATCTGAATTTCCTGCAGGCTACACGATAGCTGCTTGCTAGAGGATTGGCCCTTTGCCAAGGAGTTAGAATTACAATTTGTAAGAGGCAAAATTGAGTCCAATTTGTAAGAGCCAAAATTCTCCCTGCTTTCGAGCAGGGAGGCCTTCCTTTGCACCTCGGGAAACGTGTGATGCAATGTGCTTCTAATAGCTGGCTCGCTTCCTAGATCACAGACCTCTAGGCTGGTACTGGCACAAGGATGGAGTCCAGGAGCCATGCCCATGACTGGATCCGACATTTGCTTTGGCCAAAGAGCAGCAAAAACATAACATCCAAAACTGCAGGCTTCTGCCCCCGATCTTCAACAGCCTAACTCAGATGCACGTGAAAGAAATCTCAGCCATGACAACTCTGAGCCCTGGCTTTCAGCGCAGGGGGGCGGGGGCTTTTATTTCCCATTTCAGCTGGTGTTTATCACAAGGCTTCACCCTGATGGGTCACTTGATTCCAGACAGAGTACAGCGTTGAGTTCTGGGAGCTGCGTTAAAGAGGCCCTGAGCAGCCTGGAGGTTATCCAGGCAGGGTCACCAGTACGGTTCGGAGTACATAAAAAATGGCAGGTCCGAGTAACAACACTGGGGGAAATGGGGCTGTTTGATCTCACATAGAGATTATTCATTCAACATTTGATCAGGTTCAAGGAATCAGTCATCGAATGGAAGGTTTCTTGGCCACCTGCAGCCATGTTAGGCATTATGATAGGCAGAAATGGAGAAATGGGTTTTTACATCATGTTAAGAATCAGTTTCATTGCTCGTGAATGAAAAGGAATCAGTCAAGTTTAGCTCAACATTTTTTCCTTTTATGTCCCAAAACTTTGACAATATATCTTCCCACCAGGCATGCCCACAAGCCAATATAATGGTAAGGTTTTGTTTTGTTTTGTTTTCAGGTACTTAGGATTGAACTCAGGGCCATCACACAGAACTACATCCCTGACCTTCCTACTCTCCTCCTTCCCTTCCCATCCTCCTCTTCCCCTTCCTTCTTACTTAGAGATGGTATCTCACCAAGTCACCCAGGCTAGGCGCAGATTTGTGATTCTCCTGACTGACCTGCAAGCTTTTTTTCTCCAGGGGCTCACCTATCGGAAGATCAGATAATCATTGCTTTTGCTGCCCACAGAGACCCTGCCTGGAACATGACTTCCTCCTCAGAGAGTTGCCAAGCTGGCTTTCCCCTGGCTCAGAGCAGGACTCATAGTAAGGGTCCTACTAGCCTAAGGATGTAAGAGATGCGTCCCTCAAGGACACAGGCTTGAAGCCCAAGTCCGTTTCTCTATGATAGGGAAAAGGTGCTGTAAGTGTATCACTGCCCAAGGCTGCACTGAAGAGAGCCAGGAAGAGCTGCTCTCACAGGCAGCAAGGATGGTGTTTTTGAGGCATGATCAAAATACACGGTGACTCTTTAAGCTTTGAGAAATTTAGTACAATAAAAAACACGGTGCGGTTAAACTCCCTTAAAATACTCACTGGAAGCACACTTACCCCATTATTTTATCCTACTTTCTGGAGCAGCTCTGGAATTCATCTTTTGTGAGTGTCTTTAAGATATACGAGCAAAGCTATGGTACGTGCTGCTGCCGGGCACCATCCAACAGAAAAGCAGGCTCACAGAGACACCGCTGCATGTCCTTCTCCACCTGAGCCACCAGATCTAGCACTGTGCTCGTCCCCAAAGTCAGAGTGACCATGAAAGATAAAGATCCTAAATCAACTCAAGACATGGAGGCAGCTTTGACAGTACAATTAAAGACAAGAGAGAGGCCTTTCAGAACTGCTTCAGAAAGTAGTGAAAATGATGGAATAAGTGAGTTCAAAGCAAGGGGGTATATTTTGAGGGGGACTCGTGACAATGTGTCCTTTACTCTAATAACTTTTTTCAAATTTAAACACTGACCGTACGTTTCAGTTGTACCTTGTACCCCTGACTCTCTGGTAGTTTTAGTTTCTTTCCGTGTACATTCTTTACATGTACCTTCGCTTCCTTCCAAATATCATAATGAGGTAAGAATGCTCACTGACCAGGTAGAAAAGTTTAAAAGAATCATCGGTCAAATTGTAGTAAGTGCTGGGCTATAAAGTTGAAGCAGGATTCCTACTCAGCTCTGTCCAGCCCCGAACACTTTTTCCCCAGTACTTTATAATATTTCTCATTCATACTTATTGATGTATTACAATAGAAGAGAATGAATAGATTCATCTCTAGGTAATATATTTAATATAGATCTAGGTCATATGTTTAATATAGAGGATAACCTTTCAATTTGAGAAATAGTGCATTTCAAATCCAATTCTCTGAATATCTCATGCCAGGCTCCATGGAAGAGGTTGTGACTCCTCCCCCCATTTCCTTTCCCTCCCCTCCCCACTTCCCCTTTAGCCATGTTCTTCCGAGAGGTTGTGACTTTGAAGATGGATGTGACCAGGTCCCTATTTCAAGTTTCCATTCCAGGAGGTCAAGTCAGAAGTGAAAGTTGGGGCAATAAAGTGTTACAGACACTGTGACATAAAGCATCTAGTAGAGGTCCAAGGGAAGGACAGCTAATTTTTTTCTGGGAAAGTCTGAAAAGACTACTCTGCCATATTATAGTCTTAAAGCTTGCAGGGCCACATTAAATAATATGAATGAGATGTGTTCATTCCTGCATTCAGCAAACATTCATAAAACACCCACTGTACATCAATTGCTGGGACCCCAAAGGGTGGACTGATCCTTTAATCCCGCCTCTGAACTATTTTTTCTCAAGTAAAATTGAAAATTTCTTTCCAGGCCTCTGCAGACAGCTCCAGTTCAGGCTTTGCTTGGCAGAACCAGTGAGCAAATGGAGGAGAGCTTATTGGAGCCACTGGAGTGATGGTGGGGCCGTGTGACTAATGCAGATGATGTAACTGATTCTGCTTCTGGTCACTGAGACACAGTACCTGATGCCCACAACTTAAAGGAAGAAGGGCTTAGTTTGGCTCATGGTTTCAAGGATGCAGTCCATGGTCAGCTGTCTCCAAGGCAGAAACATCATGTTAGAAGGGTATAGCAGAACAAAATGCTTAGTTCATGGTGGCTGGCCAGAAAGCAAGCAGGGTGGAGGAATGGCGCCAGAAAAGAAGGGGTCAGAACCAGACACAGCATCCAAGGTTACACCTGCATGACCCACCCAGACACACTCAGAAGTGTGGCGCACCAGCCCTCTAGGTGGCTCCCATTCCAACCAAGTTGACATATTCAAGTTTAACCACCACAGATTTTTAGCTCCTGGACCACAAAAATCTCCAGATGTAACTCAAACTCTCATGTCTTTCTCTCCCCCTGATCCAGCCCAGCCATCCTAACAGAGATGGTGATACCAAAACCTGAAAGGCACTTTTGACCCCGAATCACCATTTGGAGGGGGGCTTTTGCCTGTATTGGCCAATGATTTGATCAAGAAAGAGATTGCTGTTGTGCAAGTCCCTGAGATTCTGATGTCATCAACTTTTTCTTCATGCCTGTGGCAGCACAAGGATAAAACCTTTACAACTATATTTAATCTTAGCTGAAACAGAAGCTCTACAGGACTGTAGTCCCTGATACTCAATAAACCCAGTAAGCTTCTTAGAAGACAGGTTAGGGATGAAACAGAGATGCAAGATTAACCTACAATGCAAAACAAGGTCTCAGGGAAAGGCTACAGAAGCAACGATGGTTCTTTTCATAAACTTTTTAATACATGCATTCATCTTCAGAAGTGATTTTCATCCAAGTTATATCTCTCCTAAGCTTTTTTTTAAAAAAATAATTGCTTTCCAAATTCCACAAGAAGCCCATTGCACAGGTGATCCATTATATTTTTTAAAAAATCACACTAGATAAGCTATTGTAGCTGGCTCAGAGTCCTGTTACTCCTGTTAACAACAGATCCCAGGGTGGTTTCACTCCAGTATAAGCCCAAACACACAGGGATGCATAAGCCTTGTCAGGTGGAGTGATGGGATTACACTATCCTTTGCACTGTCTGTTCCGGCAAGCTCTAGGTTTGTGGGAAGGACTTCAAAGCCAACTGACACAGAATCTGCACATTAAAAGACCAAAGGGTAGCTTCAAGGAGGCAAAAATCACCCGCAACTATTACCTCCTTTACAAAGCACAGTGTTCAGAAGGGTTTGTTTATGTTCCAAACCATGTTAGCTCCTGTCATCCCTTAGACAGAAAACCTGGGAATAAATACAGGACAGGGCCAGCAGTAGAGCAGAGGTCAGTCATTTAGAACAAGAGACTGTGGGTGGAGAGACTTGAGCTATTACCCTGCTCCCAACAGTGACTCGACTGATCTGCAAAATGACACAGTTATGGTACCTTTCTCACAGAGCAGGGATGGCGAACCTTTTACGGACCAAGTGCCCAAACTGCAACCCAAAACCCACTTGCTTATTTCGAAGTGCCAACACTGCAACTAAACTTGAACACTGTTACCCAATGCTCAGCTGCTGGGGTGACTTGGCTCATGTACAGACAGAGAGGGCTCTGCGTGCCCACGCTACCACTGTCCTAGAGTATCTGAATCAGTTCTTAACCAGCTATAAAAATCCCATAGACTGAGTGGCTTAAACACAATAGAAATTCATTTCTCAGTTCTGGAGGTTCAAAGTCTGCGGGCAGAGTTGCAGCAAGGTCAGCCTGTCAGCCTCTTGCCTCACTCTCACAGGGAAGATAGAGAGAGAAAACCGTCTAGGGTCCCCTTCAGGAGGGCTCCAACATTAATCACATAATTACTTCCCAAGGCCTTACTTCCTAATACTATCACACTGGAAGTTACTTTCAACCTATAAATGGGGAGGTAGCAAGCAAGTCCCTCACATAGAGTCCACCATGCAGGCTAGCCTGGATTCTGTCACAGATTCCCTTATAGCATCTAGAGCTGGTCCCCAACTTATACTGGCTTCATTTCCCCAGGATGACACCTCTCCTCCCTTCCCTCCCTGTCTGCCTCAGAGTCCCAGGCTTCAGCATATAAATATATCATAGAGGCACAGTGCCAAAGCCTGAGCCTCTCTGGGTGAGTTCTCGATTGCCCAGGCCTAGCTTTGAACTTCAATTCTCTACCAACAAATGCACAGAGCAAGGTGTGCCTTTTATGTGTAGTGCTTGCAACCCCTCAGCGAAGCCATCTCCTGCAGAGCAATACCAGGGCCTGGTTCACATTCAGTGGCGACATCTGTAATTGCCCAGTCTGTGCAGATTCATTCTAACAAAACTTTGTCCAAGAAGATCAGCACCTCTGAGACAAGGAAGCCAATCTGTACAAACAATAGCATGTAAGTCTGCCTGCATCGGTTAAGAATAGAGGCATGGGGTAAGCATACACCACTTGTGACCATTGCTTAATCCCTCTGTGAACTGCTTTCCTTGTTAATGGGAATAAGAGCTTCCTCTGCGGAGCTGTGCTGAGAATTAAATGGAAAGCCCTTGGCATGGTGCCTGGTGATTTGGGGCTGCAGGATGGCATCACTGAAACAGTGCAGCCTTTCCAGTCACACAGTCCTGCACTCTGGCGCTTATGAGAAGTGTGACCTTCAGAAGTCGGAGATGCCTACTATCTCTGAGCCTAAGTGGCCACACACATACACAGACAGACACACACAGAGTAATATCAACTTTCTGGAGTTGTGGGAAAACTTGTCACTGGTTAAGGCACTAGTCAAGGGCCTTGCAGAATGGGCATTAAATAAATGCTGTATGATTGTCCAAATCTATGAATCTGTCTCTTTCTCTCCATGTTTATTTATTTTTGGTACCAGGGATCGAACTTGGGACCTTTACTTGCGAGTCAGGTGGCAGAACCACTGAGCCAAATCCCCTCTCTGCACATTTAGATCATCAACTCATCCTACTGCATGTTCACCTGCAAGAGCCTTCAAAGAAGAGGGAGCCTATGGACTAGTGATTTCCAAATGAGGCTCCAAGCCTCTCTTCTGCACATCAACCAGAAGAAATGATTTTACCTGCTTTCTGCAACCGTGTATTAGATAAAATGCCATTAAACCCTTTTTCCTTTAAAACCTTTTATATACTGACCTATATTTGGGAGAAAAGATTTGTATGAAACCCAAATTTCATTCTTCCATATACTGTGACCTTTTACAAGCTGCTTAACTTACCCAAGTTTTAATTTCCTCATTTGTAAGGTGGGGATATATGTGAGATTCTCCTCACACACATTCATTTCATTTGCTTTTTCTTAAGTATAGGCAGCGGGGACAGAAGGCCTTACCATATGATAGCAACTCAGAATAAGAAACTAAAATGGTAAAACCCATAGGACCCATGAATTTTAATTCTTACACACATGTGCATGTGTGTGCACGTGTGTGTATCATTCCCAGTTTTCCTACAGACTCAAGAGCCAATGTGTTCATTTTTGGTGACAAAAAGAATGATTGAAGCTGGAACAAATCATGTTTGACACCACAGCCAGATCTGAAGGGAAACATTGGGGGCTTTCCCACCCAGAGAAGCCCAGAAAGGAGCAGGAAGAGCGGGATCTCAACTGCCTGGGTGTCAGGAGGGGAGGAGTGCCTGGCATCAGCCGCATCGGAACACCTGGGGCTGGCAGAAGTCCTGGTTCTTCACCCACCTGCTCTGAGCACCTAAAGCTGTGCACCTCAGGCTCTTCAGGGAGAGGGCTGTTAAAGTGTGTCAGCACACACAGAAACCCACAGTCGGGACTTTATTCTCTCACAGCCTCTGAGGCCCACATATTTCCCCAATTCAGCTGTCCGATTGTGTAGCTCTTACCCTTCTGTTTCTCTTCATAGGATTTTAGCTGACTTTTTCATTTCAAACCTTTCTTTC